TTGTAAGTGGTTCATTGTCTTATTCTATTTGGCCTTTCTATCCTCTTCTTTGTTACAAATTGCCTAGGCTCTGTGAAAGAGGGATGAACCCATCGGATCAAATACTTGCATTAGGCGAATTGAACTGTAATGTCCGCAAGTTTACAAAATTCAGCTGTTTCTACAGCACTCCCATTGTTCTACACCAGGCAGCCATGGAATGATAATCCGTCAATGCAAGCTTCCGACACAATGGTGAGGAACTCAGTAAAAGAGTTCGAGTGCAGTGAAAATCCAACTGTTAACCTGTTTTCTGATCCTAAGCGTTATACCATCATGACATCCCCAAATTTTTACTAAGCCACTATTTCTAGTCAGCATTCCAAAGTCAGGATCCTCCACACACATACTTGCTAGTGAAGTGATTATTAGCGCTTCCACGACAAAGCCTTGTTCCTGAATGTACAGTTTTGAGTGGAACGTGAAATCAAAGACTAGGAGGTGTAGTGTTATTTTCCCGATAATTTATACGACCATTATTTGCGTCCTCACTACCCCTCCATTTTTCTTATTAAAACAACGTTACACAATCCATAACCCCTCGACTTTTGACAACTGACATCAATCGTGACACTTGTTCCCTTTCGCGCAAAAATTGTGTTCTTTAAGAATGGGTTCGTTTATTCTGTCTACCGTTAACATAGGTCATTCATTTGTCTGACTAGTTTAGTGGTTCTTTACTTGGGGATAATTAACCACCAGGGGGTAAAATTTAAATGTACGGGAGTAACTATGAGTGCGATGATTGGGTCACCAATCATGCGCCAACCAAAACTACAAACAACGTTGTTTTTGTATCAAAACATGCGACTAATTATCTTCTCACTATTCGCTAGCCATCAATAACGAATCATTAGTGGGAGGTCAGTGAACTAAACAATTTTCATTAATAAACTTTATTACTTAAAGTAGGAATACAAGCCAGCAAAGTAGTGCAGCTAGCTCGTCGACCGATGTTCTTTAGTCAGGCAGTCGTTCGTCGGGTAGAATTGCAGTTGTGTGAACACCGATGTAGGAGCATAGGTCAGCCGACTAAGTAAAGAAGGGAACGAATATCTACAAGGTAGAAGGAACAAAACAGGTGATTAGTGTTCAGAACGTATTGATATTACGGTGTTAGATAGCCCTCATCCGAGAAGGAATTGGAATGGATAGTTGAAGTAATTCAGAAGCCAATGAGATGAGTTCATGTTTGATCAATCATCACAAAAATGGGTAGAATATGTCATGGAACAGGATAAAAGCAAGCGTTGCAAAGTGCACACAGCAATGTATTTGTGGTCATACAACCAATACAAGTAGAGCAGATTGAAAGCTAGTGCTCATTAAGTGTTTGGTTAATCACATATACGAAATTTGTTTTGACAAAAAGCAAGGGCATGTGAATGAATAAATTTTACGTTTTTCTATTGCTACTAATGGGTTTGTTTAACAGCATTTATGACAGTGTTAACTATGTCATATTTGCAAGCAGTAACTTGCGTATATGTATTTATTAACATATATATGTATACACGACATATCCAGCTGGACAAACTTTTAAGAACCGTTTCCTCTGAAAATGCAACGCTACGAAGCAGCATTGGGGCATTACTAGGTTTTCGAAAAAAATTTTGCTAAATCCCAATGCGTTTTGTGCTGCAAAGTGATTAAGGCAGAGTGTATGTAACTGAGCAGTTGGGAAGATCACTTTAAACGAAATCAATCTCAGTGCGTGGAAAAAGATGTTGCATTCTTCAGAAGTAAAGAAGTTGCACTGAAAGGACGTGCATGAATACATCGGACTACATTTTCAGTGAACTAAAGCTTGCCTTGTAACTTCGTATCATCAGTGTTCCGCTAGTCTGTATTTCAAACGGATACAAGAAATAACTTTTCATTCAATTTTTGGTGTGGTAACAAATGTAACTGACGTATAGAACATGAACAACAATATTTTGCGCCAATTTTTGTTGGAATCATTGAGGTTACTATGAGTTTGTTTTAATGAAACGTTTCCAAAATTTTATATATAAATGATATATTTCCGTTTTCGGCCATAATTCCTTATTACTGGCTGTAGGAGCGCAGCATATATGCTTATTGTTGGCTGCCATTTGCAACCCTTCTTTCATGTTGAGACTCGTTCACTCATCAAAAACGTCCGCTTCTATAATTTTCATCCATAGAAACAGAGCACTTATATTCATTCACACCCCAAAGGGTGTTCTCTTATTTAAACGCATACTTAGCCATTTTAAAGTTAGAAATCCATTAAAATAACATAAAGCTATCTATCATTGCAGGGAATTAGACATTAACCTTACACATGAACATAATTAATTGCTTGGTCATTATTTAAATTCGAATTTCCGCACTACAGACTGGTGGAACGATACCCTTCGTACAGCGTTTTTGAATTGTTGAAATCAACAAAATTCATACAATAGTTGAAGATCTCAATAAACCTTGAAAATTGGATGCAGCTAAGTTGCTTCTTGGAGAAATGCATGTCATAAATATAAGTATGATACCGCTTTTGAACAGCAAAATTAAAAATCGTATTGAGGAGATGAGCAAGAGTAATTTGGACATAGTGCTCAATGAAATACAGTCATTTTTTCTTCGCACTACAGTTAGATGAGTCGACTGACATTGCATCTTGTTCCCATCTACCTATCTTTGGTCCATAAAATGCAACGGATTCAAAGAAGAGTGCTTATCCTCATAATCACTGAGAACCACTGCATGTAGTGAAGATGTTTATCGAACAGTGAAGAATTTTGTCGAGAAAAAAAACCTACGGTTGTCGAGCTTGCAGTGTATTTGTACAGAACAGCACTATCCATGTTGGGTGTTCGTTCCTGAGTCCAAATATTAGACAAGTTACTGCGCACACTACCTTTATTCGTTGCATTATACATCGATATTCTTTAGCAGTAAATTTGCTTCCACCTGAATTTCTGGGAGCATTTATCCAGGCAGTGGAAATTGGAAATCTTATCTGCGGTAGTGCAACGAATGCAAGTGTTTTCCAAGCGTTGTTCAGTGAAGCTGAATTCAAATTCAATGTTGTTATTCCACACAGTAGTGTGTTGTTTATCAAGAGCAAATGTGTTACACCGTGTGCTCGAGTTTCGTGAAGAAAGTGCTGTGTTTCTGGAAATGAAAGTACTGCTTATTGAAAAGGAAAACGGGTTACACACCACAATAACATGCGATATATTTACTTGTAAATTGGCGTATTTTGCGTATGTCTTTGGATAAATGAAGAAAGAAATATACGAATATTTAAAAAGTGAAGTGTAGGATTGCCAGTTTTATTCACATTTTGCAGCTAATGTAACTGAATTCAAACTACTATTCCTTGAACTTCGTGAATACAACACCCGAAAAACAAAGTTTTAGAACACCAACCCGCAACCCTCTGGAAAAAGATTGTTGGCGAGTAACTAATGTTATCAAACTAAATCTTTAGACTACTGATCCAATTCGCCGCAACTTATAGATATGAAATCAGATTGAGAATAAAAAAATAGCAAGGAACCGAATAAAATTGGAGCATGAGTTATAATTTGGCTTAGCCGAAACCGCTCCAAATATACTGTAAATTGTTAGAACTATGCAAGCTAAACTATTTCATTAGAATAGACAAACTCTTGCTTAACTAATAATGACTCAAACTGGTTTTTTTTTGAATCACTGAAATACTTAAAACCAATATATATTTTCGGTACTCTAAAGCATATAAATGCAATAGTTAACAACTAATGCCATTTTTAAAGTGCTAGTTTTTTGGTATTTGTTTGGTATTTTTGGTATTTGTTTACTAAAATCTGCTTTGTATACAAAATCATCAAGAACTTTGAGAATCACTGGACTATTTGTTGTGCCGGAAAATGTAGACTATCTGCAATCTGCCATAGATGATCGTCAGGCTTATGCAATTACACCAGGCAATGCGCCATCGGTGAGAGCATTTGAATTCGTATATATTCTGTACAAGTTGTGGAACCCCACATAATCGTTTACGCTATTCAATCAGTTAGTAACTTTTACTTTAATCATAACATATGTTGGCGTTTTAGCTGTAAATGCTCTATGGGGTCCTGTTACCAGGTGCAGCTCCACTTTTTTACATTCATAGATTTACTCAACTTCCTAAAAGACGGATTATCTAACTTACATTAGTTGCAGCTATGTTCGGGGCTACGATTATGATTGGTGGCCGTGTACTTATAAAGTTCAAATCTGTGGCATAAGAATTGGCCTTTCTTTAGAGCATCTTCCAGAAGCAGGCTTAAAGACAGAATTTTTGTTGTAAATCTTTTCGTAGCCAATTTGCATTTTCAAGGTTTGTAACTCCGGGCTCATTCAATTTGCATGCAGACGTCTAATCATGAGAACCATCCTAGATAGGCCGGAAATAATTCCGGTTACATGATGAAAACCTTTGCTTCCTCTGAGACGTATGAGGCTTAAGTATAAACAGCTCCCAATTGTGCACTCCATAACTGATTTTGTACATCTTTATAACATTTGTGTACATCTGGACTTACTTGATTCGAACCCGGGACATATAGATTGCAGGTTGACGCCATTATCCAATACATCATTGCGCAATATGACCCAGACCGATGCTAAGATAATCAAATTAGTGATTACCGATTTGCGTTACTCACTTGCATAGGGATACATTTGTCAGCTAGCAAAACTGAAATTAATATAGGTTCCTAGTTTGTTTCTCTCTACATACAAATTTGAAATCAAGCACGAACCCGGTTCTGGAGTGTCGAGCTTAGAGCGGTTCACAAACAACAATTATCTGCATCAGATTGAATCGCAATAGCCCATCTGATCGAGATTAATTTTAAATGGAATCATCGTGTTTCAGATGAAACCAAGCATAACACTGAAATCTGTGTCAATCCACTTCTTCTTTATTTTGCACCTTCCTTTTACTTTTATTTCGTCTTCCACAGACCTGATACCAGGCACTCATTACACCGTCCAAGTTGCCGCTTCCACCAGGGGAGGATTAGGAGTACCAACGGAACCCGTCCATTTCCGTACAGGGGGAGAACTACCTGAAATAGAACTGGATGACAATGAAGATGGAAGCAAACCTTTTCTTCCTGATGAATTAGATGAGGCTACTACCTTACTTGACTCTTTTGAAGACGATGAATCCGTCCGATCCCGCTGGACCACCGTCAGGTTGGACAACCGTGTGCATCCACAGTTATTTTTGATTCCCGCGAAGGTAAGCTTTCAAAATCGATAAAAAACGTAGTGGTTTTCATTCCTTTGCAATAAAGCGTATGCATCAGTTCGTAGACATTTTCCTGCTTTGCATATATACGTTTGTTTATCATTGTCTCAGTCGTTATCAGATAGTCAGGTGATATGCAGTTTCCGACTGACGACTGCTAACGTGTATTTACATTTGGGCGCGTAGGTAGCATGGAGCATGTGCTGTTGTAATCTGACCGTGTTTCAACCGAACCTGGACGCAGAAGAACAAAAATATATGAGATTGGGATAACTGGAAGTAAACAATTCCTACACTGTTTGACAGTAGCTCCTGCTTATGGGCAACGCGGCAGTATTCGAGGATTATCGTAGAAATAGTATGCTAGCGCACAACAATTTATCACTAGTATGCAAGCTAGCTTAATTAATTCCTGTTTTGGAGACTTGGACTAATGGTCCTGTAGCACTGATATGCAGTATAATCCACTAAGCTAATTCGACGTGGAAATTGGTTTTCGGTGGTTGAATTGTGAACTTGCTCTCTGCCCATTCTCATTGCGTGTAGCAATCGTTGTGCGGCTTAATATTATTTCGCAGATGACAATTTATTTCAACATTTTTCATTTCTGTTTACTATGCTTTAGTTTGTTGGTTCTAGATCGGCTACTGAGTTCTTTTCTGTCATTTGCCTTCATGTATGCACCTTGGCAAAGTATAACAACAAAGTATTAAACTCTTTGTAATCTTGAACTGTTTGGTACTGCTCTAGTATTGTTAAATGCCAAACTGCATCGTTTACTGTCCGGTCAATATATCGACAAATAATATCCATGATAACACGAGTAAAGGCCTATAAAATATTAGGGACACGTCTGTGTTGCCTACTTGGAACAATGGTACCCGATGATCGTTTTCGTCCTCTTTTGGACTCATCAGGCAGAGATAGCTCGAGTTGGAATTGAACCCCAGGGTTTAATGCTTAATGCTTGACACTTCGATTACTTACTCACGGAAATCCGCGAGCAGTGCTTGGTATAGAGATAAGGAATTCAAAGTTGGATCCAGGATACCAGCCTTGTGGTTAAAATATGACACACAATTATCTTGTAGTCTGTCTCGATCATTTCGATCAGCAGTACTGCTTTGAAGTGCAAGGTTTTTAGTGTTGTTCCCTACCAGCAGTAGCACCACACGATTGTTTCGTTCTCCTCTGGACTCATCAGGGGAAGAAGGCCTTAGCAATCCAACCACACAGCGAGTACCCCAGACTTAACTTTTATGCACGAAAATGTGTTTCGAATTTGCCACAGAACTGTACTGCTCATGTTAAGCTCATCACATAGCTCATAGTTTACGAATAGCTTGCCGTGTGTTTTGCCGATATATCACAAACTAACAAATTCAAAGCATCAACAATCTTACCAAATTGAACATGGTACTATCGTTTTGCACTAATGAACAAACTGATGCATTAATTTCTGTGGCTAAATTTTATTGATAAATATACTGCTGGCTCGACATCAAGGTCGGTTTAGTAGGGCTTTTTTCGATATTAGGTTGATTGTTCTCAAAAGCCATTTAACACATCTCAATGCATTAAGGCTATTTCATTCAAACCTCGTGTAATAAACAAAGACTTTTAATTAAATAAGAACGATGACAGATGATGGAATCGAAAAATTTTATACAGCAATGTTCTGGTGTCTTTGTTATAGCTTTAATCAACTATGAGTTCTCAGGGCATTGTCCACTGATGCCATTTAATGAATCTCCACTAAAATTAAAATAAGATGCCTCACTAACTTTCTTCAAACTATGTCTATCTAGCTTCAGTTAGAGGATCATCGGATGCTAAACTTGTTCTGTAAAACAGTCAATATCCTTGTTGCCCTATAGCGTGAAGCTTACGCTGATCTACATCTGCGTGTTAGAGAGATCCCGTTGATACACCTGAAATACTAAGGAACTGCGCTTGGTGTCATTATTTGTTCCTCCGAAGCCATATTTCAGGAGAATATAAGTAGGTCATTACTTAACTCCGAATACCTCTACTACCATCGGCATCTTAAATATGAGCTGAAACAGTACAACTATACTTCATGCTGGTGCTAGATGCTTTTCTAATTGACCTTCATGCCTGTCACCTGGTCACCGTCTTGTAAGTGGCATTTCGGGTAATTATGATGCTTAGCCAGCACAATATTAGAGGAAAAATATGATCACGCTATAATGACTGCAAAAATGTCATGCTATTTTTGAATCACAGGTGATCATACGCAAACCGGAAATTGATTTAACCCTACTGGTATATTAGCATTGTGCTATTGACCTCGGCCATTTCAGCAGCTAAACCCAACATAAACTTGGATTTTTCAATAGCATCATAAAATTTATTTGTGAAGTGAACTATCCACAGCAGTCTTCTCTAGTAAACTCATTCAGGAAGACACGTTACTAAGAGTAGTTCGGTGCCTTCGAAGTGAACAGGTAAATTGATTACTTTTAGCCACTTTTTCGATGCGTTCGTTATTTTGTGCATCGTTTATGCAATATTCATGATTAACTCAGAATACTGCTATTCATTCTCATGTGATCTGTTTGGATAAAAGATTCCTCAATCCAACACATCAAGGATACAAATCGTACCAACCGTAAACTAGCTACACAATTCCACTTGGCGATGTATAGAACAAATATGACTATATTAAAGCACAAACACAGCTCTTCGAATTAGGTCATATATTGGTCTTACCTGTCAAACGTACACGACGTCCTGACTAAAGTCTAACTTTAAGACATGAACGTACCAATTGATGCATCCGTGCTGGACTACATTTCTTTTGGTGGTTTGCTATTTTGGGGGCTGATTATCAGGTTATGTGTTTAGTTTGCTCCGAGGCAGCTTGCTGACCCTTATGCTGTCACCTTGTTTCTTCATCTTTGTCACTACCGGTTAGAACCGTCAAAATGTCAGCCTTTAAACCGCCGTGAACCAAAAGACCAGTAATCAAATTAAATGACAATAGTTTCTATTTTGTTTACTGGAATAGCATTTGTATTTTTCTCCGTCGCTCATTTCTGTGAAAGATACCTGTGACATCCTGCATACCTGAAGTTATCGGCCTTCATAGTTCAAATTTCCATGTAGTATGAACGAACTTAGGATATGCTTTTCTCGCTTTTAATGAACAGATACAAAACTTACGCGCTACATCAGATGCGACATCCATTCACTTGAAGTGGTCGGTTGCATTAAGGAGGATCAAACCGAATTTGGAATTCGAGCTGCTGCGTCTATCTGCTGATGAGATTGGAACCACGCAAACAAAAGGCCAGCCACTACGTGTACACTTGGCCACTGCGGAGAATACAGAGGAACAAGTTGGATACTTGCCACCCGGAACAAAATACATCATTCGATGGGGCGACTTACACCCTGGCCCGGCGGAAGATGTCGTATCAGGCGACCAAACGGAATATTTAATCCGTAATCTAAGTGAGATCACGTGATTATTGTAGTCAACCACTAGCATCGCGTGCTCTTCCGGGTACTGCAAATTACTATAAGATGAAAGCAAATCAGTCAAATGGTAATCACTGGGACCTGTAATTGTCCACTGGCTATTGCTCTTTGATATCAATGATATTGGCATACCAATCAAAAATCAGCGACTTTTTAAATATTTGTGCTGTCCTCAAGACTGTCTGTAAACTTCTGCGTGTCAAGTTTCAGGACACATTGATTTTAATTTAAGGGACTCACCACTCGCTTGGGGAATGGCCGGGCACTTGTTTTATAAATTATTCGACCGACAAACCAAGCATTATGTCATATGGTTACGCGATTTCTGAAGAGTCAGTTAGGTTTAGCAACAAAAGTATGTCCGTATGGCAGTCTAGCCGTGATCTTGGAATCCGGTATTCTTCCGACTTTCACTTTTTTGAATTAGCCCAATACCAACTAGCCCGAGCCAGAAAATTCATGGCAAAAACTTGCCACAAAATCCATACGGTTCCTACCAAACACGAGGTTTTAAAATCCCTCACTAATCCTACCCTTGAATAATGCAAATGCAGCTATGGCAACATGCTATGGAGATTTTATAGAGATCAGTCACCAGAGTTCTTAATGGGACATGGACCCTAAAATACCGTGGACGTTGTAAGCAGCTTCACAACAAGACCCTGTAGTGGCGAGCTCTGAATTAATTCGTCATGATGTTGTAAAACTGGTTACAGGCGATGCTTACTCTGACCTCTGCAACTCAGAGATAAGGCAAGATAGCTATCAAAACTCCGCAACAATACTTATGCTCTTCTTGTGCCAATGGCTGGAATGACGATGCGCTGTTATCTTTTCCTCATCAAGTACGCCGTGTTGGGGTACAGACTACAAACCGCAAACGAGGCACGTGGAAAACCCGACATCCTTCCACATCAGACCCGATAGTTTCCTTGCTCTGAAAGTGATTTTATTCATGTTGTCATCCCACATATCACATCATGCAACAAAAATTTTTCAAAGTGAAATATGATTGTTAATATGAACTCATGCTTCAGCATGATAATTTCTGTATATAGTGATCAGTTCCTGCATTAGGAACAGTTTTTAGCACTTTAGAATATGCGTATTTATAAATTAGGAATGAACGGGATCGGTAAGATTAAAAACTTTTCGGTAATCTTTCTACTATATTTCACTAAAAAGATGTTTTAACAAATAAAGCTCAGTTCACTCCACAAAATTGTTGAGGAAAACATAGTGCGCTGTTGCACGCGTAGCAAGATTTAAACGTGTCAGATCTCAGAAAAGCGCTGGCGTTTCTGCGGATGGTACAGTATGTTGCGCACTATTTCAGGTATTGCATGACCCACCGTCGCAAGTAGTCAATCTCGGAAAGCAATATTACAGCTAAAATTATTCGTACACAAATCCGTTCTTCACCGTATAGAAGTTACTGTGCTTTGCGTCATTATGCTCAGTGTATTTACAAGAAGGCTTGTTAAGCGGACACCAAACCATTTGGCTATTTTGTCGCTTTTTCAAATTATCCGTGTCTCATTCTTGTTTTTTATTGCCCCTTTTAATGCTCGCTGCAACTTCCCTCCGTCGGGTGAATAACAGGACCAGGAACTATTTACTACATACGCGTTATCGCTGTGACTCGTCTTGGCGACGGACCTGCGGCGTACACTGTCGCAATGACGCATAACTTGGACGCAGGTAGGTTGAGCTTTGAAATGAATGTAAGCAGCTGATTAGCGAAATTTACACCAACAGATTTTATTCCACTAGTTTTGGTTGCGCATCTTTTCATCGTTATTATCACTTTCCCAAGTTGGTTAATAAAAAATAGTAGTAACGGATATCAGATGGTACAGGGTAAAATCAAGTAAGCAGTTCAAAATGAGTAAGGGACAATATTTACTTAGGTCTACAGGCAGTAATAGGTGTCGTGGGAATAAAAACAATGAATACGAGAAATGTGTTAGGAAACGATCATTTGTCCCTCGTTTGGGAACACGAGCCAGACTTCCTCGGGTAACCGAGAAAATTCGCTTAACTATAGGGACCTAATTGAGTACCGCATGACTCAGCGGAGTCGTTTATACAACCAAGTCGCACTAAGTATTGGACGTGTGTTACTCAATTCCACGAGTAGCACTCATGCTGTCTTCCTGCAACTCTTTCTTACCTGCCTGCGTCTTGATAATTTGCTGAAACGATTGGCTACTCCAACCTTCGTTTTAATAAGTATACTAGAATGCACTCGACTTTGGTTTACAGGGAATTATTCGATATGTTGGTCCAGTTTCCTGGGCTTAAATCAGGTGTGATGAATAAGCTAGTATTCTACATAAAGTTTATTGACGAATGTGAAGTTATTTTCCATGTTATCTGTCCTTAACATCCCAAAAGTTACTTAGGAACTGGGGTAATCATAACAAATACCATGAACTAGTGTTCACTTAACGATGAATGAGATATACAGACACTGCTTTGGATGGCGGTTAGACGCATTATGCACTTAACTAATGAAGTTGAACCCGAACGTTAATCACAAGTTAGAGTGAAGTAAGTTCCGGGAACCAAGTAGCTGAGCTGCATTGGAGACGGCAGCATTCTCGATATTTGATATTCGTACTATCTCTAAGCAAATATGTACGCAGCTATCCTGCCGTTTGCAATTGTACTTGAAAGTATGCAGAACTACGATTTTGTTCTTTGAATTATCATTTATGATCAGTGGAACCAGTAAAATCTTTCATAACATACTGATAAGCAAACTCAAAATTGCAAAAGAAGTAGCGATTGATGTTGTTAGTGCGTTCACCGCATAGTTTAAATTAGGCACAGCTTACCTTAGCCCGTTCATACGTTGTACCACAGTCGTTGCGCTTCCGCGAACCTATTTGACGACGCATAAAAGGTTGCATAAGTATATCAATGTCTCAGTTGGTACCGAACTTCATAATATATCGTACATTAGGGTGTTATAATATCTAGTTGGTCCAATAAAAGTTGTATGTGCAGAATATTAAGTGTTACTACTTTTAAAAGCTTTAGAATGCCACCAAACTAATTACTGACTAAGTAACACCAGAAGCCAAACGTACATTTTTCTAATGAATTACGTTAATTTCCGCTTGAATGTTAATGGATTCAATAAATCCCTTAAGCATAAACATAAATTTATCTTAGTTAAGTGTTTACATACACCAGAACAAAATGACTTGATTCTGGTAGGGTCGCGGTAGTCCAATTGCTATGATGTATATTATAAGATTATGCTGTTTTATAAGCAATGTATGCGAATGGTAGAAAGTTCAAAAAATCGAAAAATTAAGTCGGATCTTCGTTGTTAACAATCGTGGATCTTCCAATTCAACCTCCATAACAGGAGGTCAGCAGTGTTAAAAAAATAAGTTATGTATCTTAGCATCACACAAAAAGGGAAACTAACTATTTTACTAAACGCTTTGGAAATTGCGACTATTTATACGTAGCATAAGACCACATGATTGATCAAAAGAGCAGGTAGCAAGACGGACAGAATTTCAAGACTGCCTCTTGCTTACGCCACACTCTGACGATCTACTATCAACTCTCCTAGTCGGACGAACGAATGTGACTTGGAACTATATTCACGCCCGACAATGTAACCGAGAAAATTCGAAGTTTGTACAACCCGCGAGATTTAGGCGCAACAAGCTTACTGTACTCAAATTGAACGGGCTCGCAGATCGAACTCAATTTAATAAGCGACTACCCGAACCCGAGAGAGACAAGACAAAAGACAGGCCTTCCGCTACAGGCACTTTTACTGGCCACGTTCAAAGCGATTACAGTACAGTCCAGCTTTGACTATATACCGCGATTGTGGATATGTGAATTTTTCAAGTAGCATGCTTTGCGTAAGCAAACCCTGGAAATAAGTCACTGTCAAGTTAATTGACACTATGTGGATGCGTCAATGAAGAATGTCGAAAAGTAAAGGTCTCACGAGTTGGAAGGCTAATCGAAACATGTGCACTGATCTAGATACCAGTCTCATTGCCTTCCGTGGTTTCGGCTTGTGTTCTTGTAGGGACTTTGGGTCCCCAGAATGCAGACCAGGCTTGAATTTATGTACTCAAATATTGAAACTGTTTTTTCTATTATTGATAAAAACCATAACTTCTTGGTCCTAGGTACTGGATACCTCCATTATGCCTGGGACACTCCATGCACCAACATTTACCTTAAACGAGATGCAACAATTTTAATGATTCGTGTTGAATTTATCCCTCTGCGATATGCTCGTCGTCAGCCAATTAGAAAAGTTTATTAAGAACAATCAAAACTCAAAGGTCCATGGAACCTTTTACTAAAGATTCATTCATATTTTTTTCAAATTTTTCACATTAAGACTTCCTCCTGTTATGTATATTTGTTTCGAAAAACTAGGTATCAAACCATTGCACTAATCATACAACGATGGTGTCTTCGAGTCATTGGAATGTTTTAACTTATTTTAGAACCAACAATATACATGCGGTAGCTGGCGTAAATGCCTACTTTCTATTCCATTCAGCTGAGTAGTTTTCCAGAACATAAAGCACAGTGACAAATATCGTCATTTCCGTTAGCCACTTAAACGACTTAACCTCCTCAATCCAATCCAGTCCTATCCTCCTGCAACCCGTGAGTTTGTTTAGTCCAAATGCGGTCGATATGTGTGACCTAATAAACGGTGCTCGCTCAAACAGCGTGCTCCGGAAAATGCGTATAAATCATGTCGACTAAGAAAATAATTCACTTTTATCCACTTTTAAGTTGCCAGGAGTAATCCGAGCAAACTGACGTTTGGGAAAGCATTAAAAATCGAGTTTCATTCCTTCAAAACTGACAACCGGGTGTCGGCACGTTTGGCCGACAAAGAAACCACTTCCTTAGCACCTAGTTTGTAGACATTTTCGGCCTCCCCAATGAATAATTGGGTGGCATGACCATTTCGGTTTAGATTACTTACGTAGAATAGAACAATATAACAATCTCTGGAACCTAAGCTCCTGCTTAGCGACTAGAGAAAACGTTACGGCTTTGCGTATTTACTGACATATCGAGCTTAGAAAGCCACAGCAATTGGTGGTCTAGTTCTTAATGGACCTGATCAAACAATTGCAGTACACTACCATGGAGCTGGAGGCGAAAGACGAGCGCAAACAACGTTACAAAGGAAGTCACCTCTTTTTGCACACCTTTTAACTGCTCAGTGTATATATGGATACAAAGTTACTCGTTCGAAAGACATAAACAATGGCATATCAATTATGGAAATTGCGGGGAAGGTATTTCACAGACATCCACTCAGCTACTACATAATTTTATATACAGTATCTATTCACTGGACAAGTATTAACCCACGACGTCTTGTCACACAACCCTTCGACTTCTTTTATTGGATAACCGGATCTATTGAGCGCTGATATGAGCGATGGTATGCGATGAAGAATCTTTACCATTGGTCTCAACTTGCTGCGATCGCTTGCTTTTAAGAAGTATCGGCTAGCTATGTTTAGATTTTTATCCATTGTCTAGTGAAAATAATCTTCACGCGGCCGCGTTAAAACTCCTTGGCAACACCTACTGAAATCAGCATTGTTTTGTGGGAACCTCACTTTGATCAGTTCTAGAAAGCACAGCTTATTTTCACATGCATTCCCCTTACATGTAGCCTAATGACTGTCGAGCAGCTGCACCGATATTTACGTCTCATTTATTTAGTATTTATTATTAGAATATAGTCCGTTTTGCGAAAGCCATTGCCACAAAAGCAGTTCAGATACCCGAAATATTTCCCAACATCAACCACGCACTTTCTTTCACAATTATCTGAGATTTTTCATGTCAAACCCGAGGACCAAACTATGTACGGTTTTCCGGCGTCAATGTTTCACCGGCATGCAGAATGACAGGACGCAATATTAACTATTACATCGAAACCTTACTCCAAATGGTCAAATGATGCTTCTTATATAACCGATATTTCAGCAAGCCATTAGACAAACGCCCTTAAATTGCTTATTGGCCTCACCTCAGTCGAAGTTTACCCCCGAGAAAGTATCTTGGTTTTTTACAAACTTTTCTGGACAATCCGGACTTCAACTCTAGTGAGCTTTCTAAAGTTATAAATTTCCAAATCAACGTTGGAGATTTAACTAGGAATGTCGTTGATGTGTCTGCGCACTTACAGTTTGTAGTTGTAATGTTCACACACTTAGGTATCTACATGCAAATCCAGTGGTTGCTACTGGGTACATTCGTTGCTTTCAGCATGTAGTGAACGCATATATTAATATCGCCCGGATCTACATCGCAAAACCATTTCAAATATTATTGTCAATAACGAAATATAAATGAGTAGATTTTTACCAAGAGAACAGTCATTAAGTGATTCACGACCTATGTACGTTATAAAAAGTCAAGGTCTGATAAACTAGACATGTTATCTTTTGAGTTATGCTAATACACCGTTGGTAAATTTAACCTCGATGTGTACCGTTTTTGTTTCCTCCCCGGTTTCCAGGCGATCCTAAATTAACTACCATTGAAACTGTCATACCAATGAACCTCGTCGTCCTAACTGTTGGTCCCACTTGGGCTCGAGTGGGATGGGAGTTACCGGAGCAGCCGAGCAGTCTTACTAGTCAGTCGCTTCGGTTTCAGTTGAAATACTATCCAATAAATGAAGACCGTTCACGTCAGATTCCCCTACATCTAGCGAGTTCAGACCGTGTAGTTTCGACTGTCAACGTGACAATTCCATGGACGGAGCAAGTGGCTAAGCAACCACGGCAGTTCAAGACTATGCTTCGCGGTTTGAAACCAGCCACTCAATATGAATTCGGGGTATGCTTACTACAAGATCCTGTGAGTACATCAGCATGGCGTCGCTCAAAAGTACCCCTAGAGGATTCGTGCTGGAGTATGGTGCAGGGTTTTGAGACAATTGGCCAAAGTGAGTGGACAACTATGAGGAATTTACTGTGACTACTTTTTGTAGTAAATCCCATGTTTTAATTAAGTATTTCACCAGAACGAAAGTAAAAGATTGTGAACTAACCTCTTTCTTAGCCACATTTAAACAACTTCAAACACTAGATCGCTGACTACTGAATGAAGTTTCTTGCAAAGGAAATTTGGATGATCGGAGTGAGTTACTACATTACTGCTTGTTGTAATACCGACGGTTCCTTGTGCAGATAGCAAGTAGGGGAAGGTGCCTTTCTTAGTACATCTTTTATGTTCTGGGTACTAGCAAACAAACAAGAGTTTATAATGCCGCTTGACCCGTTAAATTATTCTCAAGCAATAGGTAAATCACGGGTAACTATTTCGACTTCACTGTAGTACGAAAAACGTCCGTCCGATTTGCTAAAGTTCTAATTTCCAGCTCTGAGCGGTAAAGTTTCATACGCTGACTTCGAATTTCTTTTTTGACAGAATACTACCTTCAGGTTCTATACCGTCTATCATGAGATTTATTAGTCACCCACATAACCCGGCAGCAGGAACCTAATCCCTGTGTTATCATATATAAAATGTTAATAAATTGACAAAACGTCGCTAGGTGTCTAGAACTTACATTATCATAGGATTTCACTAGCACGCAGTTTGTTTTGCAACCTTCGCGTTAGGCTTTGATGTTGGGTTTCGCCAGCCGGCACAGTAACGTCCGGGTTACCATTTTATGTCTCAAAGTGCACCAATTGCAGCTGCACCTCGCTGTTATTGCAAGTGTTGACAAACCCGGGTCTCTACTCGGTTCATATCAACAAAGTGAACAGAGTACCGGATTCTCAAGACTGATGCATGCCTCATGGAGTAATCCGAAGGGTGATTTATGATGAAGTCTACATAGACATAAAATGAGGCAGTTAGAAGATTGTTCTAGGCTTTAATGAATAGATATGGGCTCTCATAAACCCACTAAAGTAACCAGCTTTAAATAACTTTTAAAATTTCCATATTTTGCCCTAAGCATTTACATGTAAGAGTAGTCATCCAAATAATAGGTAATAAGCAACTAACCTGAGTTCAAACTGATTGACGTTCACGGCATTTCCATGGACTCATTGCATATTACATGGGTACAGCGTATCTTTTACCATGAATCTTTCGTAATATAGGTGTGTCACAAAGCCGCAGCGGCCGGTTAGTCAGTAGTGCAAGGTGATGTTTGGTTATCAAAGTAGCTACATTGCAAACAATACCCTTGATGATAAAAGATGGCGATCAGCATCATCAAATCGGTTCGGAAATCCGAATCCGGTAGTTGACCTTCGCAATGTGTAAAGTCAAGTCCTCCCGAGGCGGTATCCTTTCTTGTCCACCCGTCATGTTACGTTGCCGTTTGAACTTTGTTCTGGAAATATGTGGGTGTTGCTGCCCCCAACACTCATGTGACAGTGTTGGGAAGAGCAACACCCAGATATTTCCATTCCGGATACGGTCCTCACCATCGAATTACCGAGGTTTACCTCAACCTGAACCGTGATTTCAATAGAGGATTCGAGACGAAACCCAACCACAAAGCTTGTTCCTTAAATTCAACTTTGAAACGTTTGTGCGCTTAGTCCTAAGATGTGACAATCATGATCCAATCGTACCTTTTGTTTTCGAAGCGGTAGTAACTAATGACTTGGCGGCGAAGTAAGCTTTAGTGCCAACTACGTATTATTAAGACGATTGCATGTTTCCTACTTCATATCATTCTACTTACATATAGCTCCGGCTGACGCACCTCGGAATGTCCATGTGTCCGTTTCTGGAGTTAATTCCACTCTAAAGCCCCCCGAACCTACGACAAATCAAATGACCTCCGTAATAGCTCATCCCTATGCATCAGAAAGAAATGGGCAAAATTCACATGGTGTCAGGGTGCACTGGGATCCGCCTTCACAGCCAAACGGAAATATCCTGGCCTACATCATCTACTGGACCACTAGTCGGCAGAAGCCAATCATGGAATGGTTGGAACATACGTCACAAGGAACTACGCGGCAAGCTGATCTGGTTAGGTTAGAACCGAATCAGGTATATTTTCTCCGAATGATTGCACGAAACCGACATGGAGACTCCCCATTTTCCAAAGTGGTCGCATTTAGAACAGCTGATGGTAAGTTCGTTTCTGACTACGTATTGCGCGCCTTCACTTTGGGTAACAGTTTTTATGTTAGCAACCCCCCGGTACCAAATGTCGTTTATCTGGAAGCATAACATTACTTGGCTTAGTCAGTCAGTTTTGTATGCGTCTGTATCTATACGTACTGGGTTCTAAAAACACTTGAGATCACTTCAATTATCTTTTCATATGACCCTTGTTGTTTAAGATTTCCAATGCGAGCCAGCTGTCACTGGATTGTATAAGTCGAAATAAGCCACAGTAGAAAAAGTGATTATATGCGCATGAGAGATATCTATGAAGTCCCCGGTGTGGATCATGAAAAGGGCTAACTTATTGAATTTCCTATAGAACCCAATGTGATGACGATTAAGTCTTCAATGAACTGTTAAGTTTTAGCGAAAGCTTGAGTTTAACTATTTTTGAAGACAAATGACCATCGGGTGAAGGAATCGATGGGTCGTCAACCAGGTTAAAGCACACTCTGGTCTTCGTGATTAGCAGGAATCCTAAGACTCAACTAGGAAATTCTATGCGAGGTCATAACGCTGCATCCGATGACAAGAATGATAACTCCTCTATTTACAGGTAAATCCACATGCTAGTATCAGCTAATGGGTCAAAACCATTTGTCCATTTACCACTAGGCAGTCTAAATGAAGCTCCTGACACATACGTTTAAGCCATTCATTAACGGGCACTGAACAAAGGGTTTTCAAGATGCATTCCGACCTTATTGGGACTATAGGACAAACAGCAAGCTCAGATCAGACAAAATGCATCCATTCATCCATTTTGCCTGCGGTGTGGCAAAGTTTATTGAAACCAACATCGGATTATTGTTTAAACTCTGTAGCGATACGCGATGCAACAACTGGAAAACACGGTTACTGATATCACCGTGCATGTGCGGGTGTGGGCATTGTTTTCTAAAGTTTAACAGAGATACGATTGAAGTGGAGTTCATCGGTGGAACCGACTTCAATTTCCGTGTTCCCGTTTTTATATTCGACTTGCTCTTGTCCATAAGTCGCTCACAAAAGTATGCATCAATAGCTTCAGTGGACAGGCCCACTTATATTGAGAAACAGAGCTGAATCTTATCAGGACATTGTGTAGTTGTCTCTAACCAGCGGATGTGTATAACTACTACCCATTAATTCGTATTGCTTATCAGAATAGTCTACTTGGATCTGATCGCTGGCAAGTATTGAAGAACTTTTATTCGCCCGATCAAAAGAATCCCACTTGCGAATAAATCTACTTAGAGTATTTCCGGATAACAGTAAATTCAAGCTTAATGAAACATTGAATTTTAACTACACAATACAGTGCCAGAATGGCACACGAACTGGTAAATTTCTGTCAGACTTGACTATTGACGGAGTGATACTGTACCTGTTTCGAGAAGTAGAAAAACAGAGATTTGTAGATTTTCTTTAAATGATGTTTGATCAATGTATGTAGTGGCATGATTCCCAAAGAACGGGTGAAATTACCCTTTCTTTTTGGTTGGCTTGTAGCATTCCCATTTTATTTGTACAAAACAGTTTGCGAATAAAAAATACCGAGAGGCTTATACTACCCTAGACAGCTGGGAAAGTTACGCGAACCATGTATCCAATAAGTCGAAAAAAGCCCCGAATAGTCAGCGTAGTAGTTAAGGTTCATGTTTGCCTATGCTACTTGCAGATTACCATCGAATTTATCTTGGAACTTATTGAATAAACATAGTTACCCATTCAGCCGCTCGCAACACTACTTCGGACAGACGGCCCGATCACACACTGGGGACGCTTGACTAAAAGCGGATGATGCCTCAGGACTTATTCGCAATCTACTGAAGCAAAACTGGTTCCAATTTAGCAAATGAGAAGAAACATTAAATGCATCTGATACGGTAGTGAACAGAAGTTCACATGACACTAACAGATGTTTCGCAGACCAATAATTTTGGACAACGGTTGCCTGAAGTGGGCTGGTTTGGCTTTAGTGAGTCAACTGACCGAATGTATCAGATCTGCTTTTTGACAATGCTGCTATCTCGATCTATCTGTTTTGACAACTAATTTCAACCCATAGTGGCGAGCGAGACGAGGCGGAACTCGCTTAGTTTGTACTGTCCCCATGCTCTGTGATCGTATCACGCAAGTGTCTCCCCTTCGGTCCTTCCGCGCTATTTGCTGCGTGTGTGATTTCATTTACCTTGATACATTTGCATGGACTTTCCCATTTCGACTGTCATTCGGCATCAAATTCCGAATGGATGATTGGGTTTTGGAATGATTCATTGATGTTGCTGCAGGAGTCAAAATGCGAGTGTGAAATTATCGGTTGTCCGTTGGTCCACGCCACTGGGTATAATACCAAGACTGTCAAGCGGTTAGCGTGCCGAAATATGGTGAATGGTGCACTGGAATAAAGGGCGTCACCCGAGTATTAGGTGGGGTTACATGACAGGCCTGGTGATTATTCGGATATTAATCTACATCACGTATTTGACAGATAGATGGGTCACTGTTTACATTTTCGGGTCACTTATGTGCATTGCATGATTTGCATTTCCTTTCGGCAAGACAGTAATATCTGGTTATTTATAGCCGCGTAGCAACCAGAATAAACTCGGGTGACTGCAGCCGAGTGTCATAGTGGTCACCATCTGCCTTTCCTTGAAAGGTTGTGAAGAATACGGACATTTGTATCTACGGACCTGAGGTGTAACGATGATTGAAAGTAGTAGATAGGTGCATATATATATACCACTTGCGTACAAGCAATTTGTATGCGCTTGGTAGACTTTACATAACTGAATGTTTATGGTACTTGTATTGTCAGCAATCGCCAAGTGCTTCAGAAGTGCCATCCAATATCCGCGTTTTACAAATAGATCGGTTTCTTTAACAGCCACCACCACAAGAAGAGCTTGGTCTTTTAAGAAGTTTAGTCACAACGACACTCTACCAGGCAGCCGCTAAACATAAAAGAAAGCGTTAGACGGTCAGTATTCCTATTAGGATCGTGCCGGATCCGAACCCGTAACTTTACCCTTGTCAATCATCGAATTATGTCAAGGAGCATGGATGACATCGGCGGATTGCTGTGACTGATATCTAACTGCAATAAACCGTTGTTCATCCGCCACTATCACGCAAATTATGAAAATGATGAGGACATGGTTGGTTTCATAGCTACGACTTACTTTGCAAGCCGCTCTATCGAGGCGTCAAGTAACCTGCTAAGGAAGTTACCTTTTCACAAGATTTTGAAGAAAAAAGTTTTTCATAGCAAATTTTTGTCTTAACTTTTTGTATTTATTTCAATTTTCACCTTACTTTTTCCTAAAAACCTATGCAAATTATATACCGGATTACATGGCCTGACAAAGCGCTCGCGTCAAGAGTGAAACACCGTCACCTTAAAAATCCTCAAACCAGCTTTGTATTCAAACTTTTCTGAAATCATGAACTCCCAGTCGGTGTCATGCCAGTTCCGAGATATTAAGTTTGCTGTTTATTAGGTAGTAGGGAGAGTTATTCTAGGCCTGGGATAATTCCTCTTCACCTATGGCTCGATGGTATAAGTAGCCGACTCTTGAGAGAGGTCTTGGGTGCAGACCAATCAGGAGCCGACTGATCCACGCTACTGACGAGTTCCAATAAGGCGAGACGGTCGTCCAGCGCTTCCCGGATGTTTGCTGACTGCGTGGCTGAGTCTAACTGCGAACAATCACATAAAACGCAACAAAAACCACTACTTTGCCATCTTTAACACTTCTGTATGTATACGTGTCGACTGGCTAGCTGAAATCTTTTATGTTTCATCAAGCGTAGTTCAGGGAGCAACCTTCTCTCTACTGCATGAAGAATTTGGGTGAAAATAGCAACATCAGCTAGCATTTGTCGTAAAATTCAGTCTCTCCAGGACGAATGGCTTTTTAACTGGAAGACAAGAAACCGAAGAACAGAGTATGACTCATTCACCAACTGTTTTTTTTACATACTACCCAATCACTATTATTACTGACAACACAGTTGCACCAATAGTGATCATTTTACTCCAGTTATATAACAACCGACAACCCTTATCCACTCAGCAGTGCTTGGCGCAGCCAACAAACAATGCCGTTCGGTTCGCTTCTAATCGGAAGCCTCAGAGCTATCGTTGGCCTCTCTGATACTTGCAATACACTATACTTAACACTACCATGTTTCGTGCCCTTCTCTTTCCGCCTGTTCGATCCGTGTACCGCTGAGTCATATTTTTGACGACTCTGCTATTATGACCCTATCGCCACTCGCAGCAGAATCCTTCATGTCAAGTTCGCCTTATATCCTCACATGTCTTCACATCTGTACCTCGTTTCTTCCGATTAGTTTTCTTCCAATCTTGACTTCTTATGATATCTCCTAGATTTTCGTCGTCATCATGCACTTCTTCCATTGATCGTAGTAACCGGATATCTGACGAAACCGCACTTCCTCTTCCAGTGTCAGCTCAAATAATACGTGCTGGTTACGCACTTATTACCGCTTTCGATTCATCATTCATTGAGGCAAACGTTTTCGGAGTTGTTCATGTGATAGCGAAACGAAGCGTAGAAACGTAGTGTATTTACGCATCGGAACTTTTGTATTGCTATTGAACATGCGTTACAGTTGATATAGATCAGCATCAGCAGACGTGTTATTGCGGTTCCGGATAGCATATAGTATGGTTCATCCCCAGTGAATCTGGCTTCTGAAAAAACCTTTTGGCTTGGTTGATTGCCAATTAGACTTCTCCAATTAATCGATTGTGATTTGGGTTAGTTCGTCATTGCCTAAACCTCACGTAGTTGCGAAAGTCTAGAAAGCAACGTGGGCAAATTGCCGCCGGTTGTCGAAGACCGGTTCTTCCGGTATCCCGTACCGGGAAAATGACAAATGAGTTCGCTTGCCGCAGCTCCCCGGTTGGTGTTGGGGCTGAGTAAAGCAGTTTGATAATAAGAACAGTGGTACTCAACTATGATCAAGCAGCCTTCGTCATTTTCACAGAATTCACTCATTGCTAATTACTACCATGGTCGGTCCGGCACATACTGCATCAGCATCGATTCTTTTGTTTTTTGAGCATCAGAGGAACAACATATGGCTCAGTTTGATACATGATCTAGCATTTCCTTCGTCCACCCTGGTCAGGACATTAGTTCTGTCAGCGTATTTAATTATTAGGTAAGTGTGGTGTGTTTTCTAATAGCTTGCGCAGCGAGACTGGATTTGAAATACTACCTCCCCTGAATGTCAGACCGTTGTAGATCCTGAGTTCATCTCAGAAACATTATTAAGGTGCCAGCATTCTTAGGAGCTGATGCTTCGTCTGCGGCCTTATTTACGGGATCACATATCACAAAGCTATATAATGTTCGTCTGCTTCTGTACGCCGCCTCACTTACTTTAGACACACAGCGGTCTCTGTCGGATGCCGCACCAGCTTAATGGATTCCAGTTGTTTCTGATCGTGTATGGCTACCGGAATATGTGCTATTGTCATGGTGTCCGCAATGAACCTCTGTACCTGGCATGTACATCAAATTTACCTCACAACTCTACAGACAAATGCAATCACATTACAGACGTCGTGGGGCGTTAGTTATAGATTTACTGGCGACGGACGCGAACAGTTTGTGGTCCGTGTATTCAGTAGCCTTTCTCCAAAAGCGTAGTTGTTGAAACGCTCTATCCTACAGACCACCGCTAACATTTGTTGTTCAATTTTTGCATACCGACGCTGTTGTAGAGACCGAATGCGGATACCTAGGGTTTTCTCATCCTACATAAGAATGGAGTTTCGGATTGAAATAACTGAGTACTGGTGGCCTACTAAAAAGGCATTCGATTTTGCAAGGTGGTCTCCTGCTCCTTCCCCCAACCCACTTCACGCATCAAAGGGTCAAACTGTGAAATGGTGCCGTGATATCGGTAACCTTTGGAACGAAACAGCTGACCACACGATTCAAATAGCTAGCGGTCTTCACATATTTCAGAGGGGGCATAGCTTGCATTCACTCAAAGCATTAGGGAACGATTATGATTATTTTTGCCTGATAATTTATCAACGAAAAATTAATTTCCACTTCCAAATCTCGGCTGTCTGACGCTTCAGTTTTATCCGTTTTGTAGGTAGCGCTGCTACAAGAGACGTTGGAGGATGACATCCATTTCTCCATCAGTTAAATAATCAATTGTCCCTTAGGCATGATATACATTTGAGATCATCTACTACATGCAACAATCGATTCTGAAATAACTCCCGTGAAAGTTTTAGAACACATGGCAAAAAATCTTCAAATCAAAGTTAACTTGAGAAGAAATTCGTCAGGAAAGGCAACTCTTCATCTGGTACCACTTATCAAAACGCTAAAAATTAACTTACTTTCATGAAACTTTTAGTGTCAGCTAGACGAGGCGGAACATCTTCCATTGTGGGTGGTGCATAATGTTCTCAACACAATGCCCCCTTCAGCGGCTTTAGATCGATATTTGCATGCAGTTGGCCGGTCTTCTTTGTACCAATTCCAATCTGACTGACGCAGTCTGTTGATGCATCCACCAATCTCCATCAATTAACTTAATTCGACAAAGGAATTATCATGCAGAGCAAATCGAAATTTTTAAAAGGCAGCACAATTAGTCTTACTGATGCTTTTAGCGGCAACTAAGCGACACCTTCAAACATCGCCAAGCCTGGACTGAACACATGGATACTGTTCATTAACAGTTATTTCTCCCTGATGACTATACGAAACGATCCTGGTTAAAATAACAAGCATAGACTGAACTGCATCAGTATCCACAATCTGCTTGAGCTCATCTTCCACGGTCACAAGTTCCATTCGATATGAGACGCCACATTTTGAGTTCGCTACTTCGATTTGAACTGAGCATCTCGCATAAAGTCTGGAGCCGTTGCGCTTGCGCAAATAATCTTAAGTGGATAGGATATACATCCCCGAGACAGTGTCTGCTGGATAGATTTTTGACAATAACATCCTTTTTCAACTGAGTTTATGAGTTGTGCCTTCTCTTAGGAGACTTGCGTTAACACACTTCTGTGATCCCATTTCAGACACGCTGATAAATGAATAATCTGAATCTGTGAGCAACATGTCACTAACGGGTACCCTGACCTTAATCGATTCACAGCAACGAGAAAAGTGATTTTAAGAATCATATTTCACATACCTTGTTCCAAAGCAGGCTCTTTTCGCAGCTACCCTAGTGATGCGCAGCACAGAATTTGCGGACATTGCGTCTCACAAAGGTGGTCTTCGTATTTTTACTCTCTGGAATCGTACACAGATTTTATCCTTTTCAGGCCACACTTGCTGGTTATGATATATGTTCGATGACTCATCGTTGCAGATGTCAATACAATGCTTGAGCATTAACTCGCATTGTCTCGAAAGTCGCATAGTCAAAATTCCATCATCGTTACCTAGAACAGTTTGGGACCATATGAGACAGAAATTGCATGACCTTACCACTCTTTCACTCAGTGACGTACGCGCCAATAGATTTATTCGGGCGTCCACTTTACCAAATATACGTAGAGATAATGCGTCTCATTACTTTGGCCTTCGCAAATTACAATGAACTTCGCAATGAGTCTCTACATGGTAATGGAGACTTCGTTTTGTTGTAGTGCATTGTCTCTAGCATACTGCCGCGTGTCTAAACAAGGCCAGGTGATACGTTACCAGTTGTTCGTTCAAACCACCCATTTGCAGAAATCCATCCATTTGCTTTTCCATAGCTTCTAATTACTTGACATCGGTCACCCGTGTTCAGTTGGGCAGGTAGTTGGAAAGATGGCGGTGCTCCAATCAGCATCTGAGCGCCGGTTGCGGAGTCGGTCTTCGTCTTCTGGTACACCAGGATATCCGGTTAGGTTGCCTCGGACTTCTTGTTGGTATACCTGCTCCATCCTATACATTTATCCTACCATAATACTGCTTGAAATGAGTCAAATTCCTGCAAGCACTCTATCGTAATAAATAGACTGAAGCCCTTAGATGATCTAAAAAATGAATAAACTCAGTTTGGCAACAAAATTTTGTCCATAACTTTTGCACTTGAATTAAGAGATTATTAAACTTCTCTTGATTTTCTGCTTACCCAGTGTGTGCATCACCAATCTATAGTGAGAAACAATGCATATAATTTCGTTAGGGATCTTCTTGTTTGCGGGATACAAACAATCTACATGCGCAACTCAGTGAGATGCTGAAACAACAAACCATCTGCGACCAAAGTCGCGTTATGTTGTTTTAATATGACGGATGTGTATTGATGGGATTTTCAGCATTTTAATGAAGCTGCCTATTAGAAACCAATGTACGCACACCAGCGGATATTTCTAGAAAGTGTTTTCTATCCTTCTAGGATTCAAACTAAAACACTAAAGCAGATGGAGTACAATTCAATATTTAGGACAAAGGAGATCCAACAAGGAAAGGGATCATGGCCGTAAGACACACTGTGCTCAGGGATTCTGTAACGGTGCCGCATATATTAGACACTGGGCCCAGTTGGCTCGGAGGCAATTAAAAAAATTGCACACAGAAATTCTACTGAGTGAAACAGTTATGTGATCACAGCCACCTGCAACAAAGCCCGGGAAAACGTTCGGCTACTTTGTCACTAATCCAATGATGGTCACGTAGTACAGCTGTATAGAAAAATTGGTGGTGACTGCGGCACACTATTTCTACATATTTGAGCGTCATTTCGAGGTACTAGACAATGTTAGCAGATTGCAGCTCGCAACTTTTGTATATAATTTCCGACTAACCCCCTCGTTGTTTCCTTATCTCCTTCACAAATAACAACACCTTAGTGATATCAGTAACCAATTGCTGAATGGACAATGATTTTTCGGAATACATGAGACATACAATAAATTGTAATTTTCGAAGTGGAATCTTTGTGTTGTATTCCTGAAACGACGACGTCCTCATTCATGCTTGTCTGTAAATCGTCAAAAAATCCTATTTGCACGAATTCCAAGTTTTGCTTAATGTTTGTCACTTGAAAATATTTGTAATGTGGATGCAAATAATAGTTTTGCTCCGTTCTAACATGTTAAGCAATGTGCAACTCTTTCAAGGTGACCAGATCTCGTGTTATTTTTGCTATGTTTGTGGGATCGGTTTCTCGGTACCACGAGAAATATGCCTTATTATTATTATTATTATACAATTTCGTCTGCCCCATGAGCTAATTTGGTCCCCATTCTCATATTGTCTTGCTCAGTGATCTATGCTTGTTACTTTATTGTTGTATTCTGCCCACATCATCTAGTAGACTTCTCTTAAAGAGTTCCCAAATTTTGTAGTTTATGGACGGGGTGGAGGAATGATCAGACTCTCTAAGGAATACCACGACCCACGAGAAATCAATGAGCCACTGGACCAAATACTCGATGACTCACATTTCAAGTATGATTCGGAGGTAAAAGGCGGCGCAAATGAAAACAAAACAGATGCCTTCGCTAAGGAGCAATTTCGATGGATCATCGTTGGCTGTGTTCTTGGTGCAACAGTGGTGATTCTGCTAATAGCCACCGCTGTACTTTTCCGAAGATGGCGTAAACTCCGACACTCTTTGGGCATAGTGAAAAAGTAAGTCAGCCTGCTACCTAACTAGCCTCCTGCAAGGGAATGAAATTTACATTACGTTAAATTTATGCCTGAGTTCAGGAAATTCCAGTAAAACCCTCTGGGAAGCTGTCCACTTGCCAGTGTGCTAACATTGATCATCGCACAGTATTCTTCCGATCGATGTTTGGTAGCCTGTGTTCCGAAAAATCGTTTGGCGACAAGTTCTAAAATTCCATTCATCGTTATCAACTTAATGCTCTCATTCTATTTCTCTTACGGAAGCGGTTTCAGCAATTTAACGAAGTTAACCCAAGGAACATCAAACCTAAATCCTTTCTGTCGAAAAACTTGATGGAACCTAGAGGTTGCTTCTAAAATGCAATCTCCTTTTCGAGCATTTTAACCTGTTCAAAGATATTCCAAACAACTACTGCATGCTTGCAACTGAGGTTTTCTGCGCTAACAAATGTCGGTTGCGCCAATCCATCCGTAGTTGAACGCGTCAGAATGTTTAACATAATGCGGCTAATTCCATCGATTTAATTTCTTTCACAGTCTTTCAGAGGGACCTTGTACATAAGTATTACTTAACTGGCCAATATGTAGCAAGTGTTAGCCCCGGTAGATTGTTTGTTGCCGACAAGTGCGGATCCGGCCCTTTAACGGTCATTTGATTTATTTACTGCGTGAAGGTAACAATAGTGTTGGCAGAGATAGCAAGGTGCTGCCTATCGAATGGATTGTGAAGGCAGTCGAGCTGTCAGTTGATGATAAATTTCGCACTTTCATGCGGCGCATCCGTGATCCAGTATCGGGGCGAACAGCTGCTGCAATGCAGATTCCACAACCTTGTCTGAACGACAGTATGTCCCCAGATTTAGGTGACAAGGCATAAGCTTCACTAGCTGCGAATTCTAAGTCAATAATGTGTACGTAGATGTGGACGCAGATGTTGACGGACACCGGTTTCGAGAACTTAATCGGCCAATCATGCCTCACGGCAAGCCATTGCACGTCACTAGTGTTAATGCCTGTACTTAGTCAAACCGAGTAACTCAGTCTGCTCAAACTGGATTTCAAAGGCTGGATGAAGTAGACTATTCATTTAGCGCTTTCACGTGTATTCTCTAGCTTAATTCGTGTAATGTTCCTGGTGACATTTGGTGATTTACATGACATAGAGCTTACAATAAACTAGCTGTCTGAGATAGGACACCGTCATAAATCGGAATCGCATATGTTCGCCGTCATACACTTTGCACAAGCTGCCCACGTTGTCAGATGCGACCAAACTGGAAGCGTACAAACTTATATCGCTGCATCCACTCCGACCTTCGTACTATGTTTCGCTTTCAGCAGTTTCGCACTGTACCGAACTATGTGCATGAATAATACAACTCATTGAGGACAGAGTGAAAATGTGGGGTTCACACTGGATGCGATTGTGAAGTTGACGCGAGCGTTTCTGTGTACGCATTCGGGCTCTGACTTTGACACACACACACACACACACACACACACTGCGCATTGTTTGTACACCCCAGCGGCAGTTGAGTCATCGTCGAATTGGCCTCTCACTCTCTGTCCTCCTTCTGACTGACTCACAATTTCGCACATGCCACATCCTCCGTGGCGCGTGGCTGCTATCGCGTTCCACAGTGAATACCTCTCATGCACGCCTCTCTCCCCACCCAACAGCATTGGTAAATACACTGTTTACTTGGCGCTGTGTACGTGGGCAGCTATGAGCTTGGAACGACCAATGCTGCGCTCAGTGGTCCAAAAAGTAGCTACTCATGGTTTATTTCAGTGTTGCGGCATGTACTAAATCCGGCTTATTATGCGAGGTGGACACCTGCTAAGCCGCAGGTTATTCCAACACCCAGAGACAATTTTAGTTTCTCCTATCCGCATGTAAGAAACAGTACCCATTGAGGCCTTATCGAGCTGGTCAAGATGTACCGTTAGCTGGTTCCAAAAGGACAGCTATGAAAGCGGTTTCCGTACCTCCTTGCTATGCATCAAGACCATGCCTTACAAAGAAGTATGTCTGGGATTCAGTTAGTCATCTCACATTGAAGCCAACCAGCTCAGGCGGATTCACCACTTAAAGTGACGGCACGTAGCATGGCCGCTCAGAGTTAAAAATATATCTCATCAACGTGCAGACAATGTGCTGGCAGGCTATGGAAACTAGACAGATAATAGTAATAAGCTATGCACACCACTTAGAAAACAGGTCTTGCCATTTGACTGCATACAGCAGAATGGTTACCCCTGAAAATGGATTCTTGTGCTCAGGAGAAACATCATAAGCGCCTCTTACAAGGCCAGAGCACAGTGAGAAAGTGACCGTTCTTGAATGATAGCTGCCATATCACTTATTCTGATTAAAGTGTACCGAACAGTTACGGACTAAGCTTTGGCATATCTAGTGCCCTTCCTTCTTATAGTTGATTCGACCTGGAATCCTCAAACGGGAGGCAAAACCGTCTGTCTAATTTTCGCCATCAAGGAATTAAAAAACATCACGGAAGCATGTCATTTGTCATCAGTGTCCATCCGGGCAGTCATCTATGCTGGTGCCTTTGCAGTGGGCCCCAAACTGTGTCTTTCAATCTCGATACCAAGTTTGTGATCGTCCTCATAAAGCAACCTTTGCTACCTTCTGCATGGTGATGTGTAACGCAGAACCAGTTTCTGTGCTAAAATTTCACGTCTTGCTGCAGTCCGGTACATGTTCGTCAGTGAAGGCTTCAAGCTAGTTGGAACGTCCCATTGAAATAAATTTTGCACTTGAAGTATTGACGAGATGAGAAATGTGAACTTATGAACAATCCATCAACTATCCCATTTGGGTGGAATTCGTATTCCACTTCGCGATGAATTATTCAGTGCAGCTGATCAGCAAATCTAAACTGTTGGCCAGAAAAGTTTAGATCAGCCAGCTTATTTCCATTCGTGAATCCTACCTCGCATTGTGTGAATCCACCTGCCAAAATTACGAATTCAGTGAGTTGAGGCAAACTGTCACTGAAACTAAGCCGCATTGGCAGCTTGCCACAACAATTTCGAAAAAGAGAAGAATGAACCCACTGCCATTGGGTTTATGGTAACAGACTATCTCCATCATTCAGTGGAAGTTGTAGTAATAAACTATCATGGCTGAAACTGATTTGAAATTAAAACCGCTGTTCTTACTTATCCCTTCATACCAACTTATACAACAGCCAACCCAAATTCCAAAGGATGTTACCTCAAATACAAGCGGTCCACAGCGGAAATTCAAGTAAAACTATCTTTGTCCCTGAGTAAGAAAAAATCTGACTGGCAAGATAAATCGGTTTTGTACGTTGTACATATATGAAAAGGAGCTGATTGATATTTAAAGATGCTCCTAATGAGCAATTTCATAACTTAGTGGAGATCGTGGAAACAAACAAAGATTTAAAGGACCGTGTTGTAGTAGCCATCATTAAAATCAAGGTGAGGAGAATTAGCTGCGGATATTCCGTTGTGAGAGCATTCAGCGACTGCAAACTCATGTTTATATCGGAAAATATATTTAAGTCGAGGCAATTACCGAGTGACCACTGCTGCTAATTGGAAAATTTGTGGGGCAAACACGTTGGTAAATGCAGTTATGAATTCACTACTTATATAAATTAAGTATGCAAATGTAGCTGAAAAATGATAGGTCGACCACATCATGTTTCGCTTGTTGGTCGATTATAAAACCCAGGTTTGTTAGATTTTATTTGCTCAGGCATGGAAGATCTATTTTGCAGAAAACTAAGGAAGCATTTACATGCTTTGCTTACATGAAACAATTTGTAAGTGAATACCCAACATTACTCTCTGCCCTAAGATTCCATATGCTTTTTCAATTCTCCCGTTATGTGTTTACAGGTCTTCTGTGTCCCATAAGTAAAGTGGGTCGCAATAGATACGTGGAGTTGCAGACGGGTGGATATGCCTATCACTACCAATCCGCATGAAGTCGAAGTAAAAGCGACAGCGAAGAAAGTACGGCAGATAGTAGGAATATTAGTGCGGGATAGGGCACAAGGAGATAAAGGTACCAAGAAAAGGCAATGACAATGCAAACGCCCATATATATATAGGTTCCGGATTTGTCTGTCACTGTGCCCTCCATAGGACAGCCACAGGACGCCTGCGCCTACAGAGAGGCCATAGGTGGTTTGCGCTGCACCATCCACAGCTTCATTCACACACCCCCATATCCAGTGTAAACCTGAAGGAATATGACCGGGAAGCATGCGAATGGCACTACGTCCCATGCAGCAACGACCAACTGTCACCTAGCGCCAGTATGGACGAGGTAGTGGGTAACAGGTAGGCAGCTTGTCAACATGCACATCAAGCGCAGCCACACCGGGGATATCAAGCAACAGCCAATCACTTGAGAGAAAGATAACAAAGAAAATAAATCGACTAATGCATAAGCAAATGTGACAAACCTTAACTTAATGAGCATATGAAATAAGTTGTTTACAAAACAATCCGAGATAAGCTCACGAGGTCAGAAAGTATAGTTTACGGAAATGCCACAAACAAGAAGACGTTATCGAAATTAACTACAATTGGCTTTAGCGACGTGTGCAAGTTTATAGAAGAGAGTACAGGTAGATATTCATCTGGGAAGGGAAAGCACTAGGACAAAATTGAAAACCCACCACCTGAAATAAATAGACTAATCATGCAAGCACGCGGTTAGTAAATCGAATGCAGCGTGCCTACAAACGCTGCGCCGATTCTGCCTACCTACTCTGCAGGACACGTTGTCGCTACGGTAGTGGTCCCGAGTGTCCTCGCTCATGGCTCACTAGGCCTGCCTGACTCAGGCACTCCCGACCGCATGTGCTAAAGCACCATGCGCTCGATGTCGATGGAGCAGAACCCATCGGTGCTTGGCACTTCTTCTGCATGCATAAGGTCTTTTTCCCGCACTTCAGCAACTACCTTCGTGATTAGATCGCGCCATGCACGCCGATCAACCGCCTTCGAGTCCCATGAGTTGCAATCAAGATTAGGACGTGAGAGGCTCACTTTGATCATGTGCTGGTAACGAAGCTTTGGTTTCCCCACATGCCGCTTCCCAATACTCAGCTGACAATATAAGAGTTGTTTCGGTATTCGCTTCGAATTCACAAGCCACACATAACCGAGCCACCTCAGGTATCTCAACAAAAGTATGCAGTCCACTGCGCACATTTCACTTCAGTGCAGCACTTCGGTTACCGCAACTCTGTCGCCCCAACCGATGCGCAAGATCCTTTGCAAACACTGCTGATGGAACCGCTCGAGATATCGCACATCCCGACGGTAAATCGTCCACGTTTCACTGCCGTATAGAAGAACGGACAGCACCATGGATTTGTACACCATCAGTTTCGTGCCAATGGTAAGCTGATGGTTGTTCCACACTCGGTACTCTAGCTTCCCGAATACCACCGCTGCCTTCGACACGCGGATACGCAGCTCACCGTGTAGCTGCTGATCAGTCGATATCATGCTCCTAAGGTAGCAGAATCGGGAGGTGGTTTCCAATACTTCAGCACCAATGCTGATTCACGTCAATATTGAAGATAGCATATATATATATATATATATATATATATATCAGGTGGCTGCGATCAAATGTGCTTTCTTTAGTTTTTTTAGCTTGTTATACTGGTTTGACCCAAGCTAAGTAGTAGTGGCTTGGTTATCATGTTTGTTTCAATACGTCGATGAGTGAAATAAGGTTACAACCATCTGGTCTAATCGACATACGCAGCATTTTGTCACACTTTATTCTTCATGGTGATACAGTTCGACTGGGCCTCCAGCGTAGTATCGTTTATCATGCAGCAGGCATAGGGTCTAGATCAGTGGTTCCCAACCTTTTAGACGCCGTTCCCCACAAAGGGGGTTGCCCACCAGACTTTAACCCCCAAACTTTCGAAAGACTACTACGTAATAACTATTGCACATTTCGCTCTAAAGTTCAAAAACAAAGTCATATGTAGTTTCACGTGCTCATGCAATTGAAGGAAACACCCCTTCTCACTACATAACTATCCGACTTAAGTACGAGAAGTGATCGGTATCCGGAATCTCCCTCGACAAATAAACGAAAGAAAACAGTACTTTTAGTTCAAAATTCTATGCAAACAAGAGGCGAGATACATCAATGAGACGGTTGGTATTGTTTGGTGGTAACAATTTCTTGTATATTTGGTGCAGTTTCGGCCAATGCACATCGCAAGTCGTGCTCCAAGTTCATTCGATTCCTTGCTTTTGTTTTCATTACCATCATTGTCGAAAATGCACTTTCACATTTATAAGTTGTTGCAAATGGGATCAATATTCCTAATGCGCTTTCCGACAGTAATGGATACTCTTCACCTATATTTGCCCAAAATGTTACTAGTTGCGTGCTTTGGAAATCTACCTTCAATCCGCTGTCCTCGCGCATTCCTAGGAATTGTACCTTGATTTCGAATTCAGTATCTGGAAATATTCCTTCAGCTGCTGTAAACGGTCTTAGCACCCAGGCACTTAATTGGCGAGTTTCCAAATAAGGAAAATATTTGCTGATGGAATTCATCACTGATGACAAGTGGCAAGATATTTCATTCGTGAATGCGCATTTTTCATTTCTTTCAACGAGCACCGTCGTTAGTTCTGGAAATATCGCCAGGTCGTCAACATCAACCGAGCGCTGGTAAAGCTGCAGTTTGAGAAGGAAACCGGCTACTCTATCCTGAGCGACTAAAATGTTCATCATATTCCCTTGCAGGCTGAGGTTAAGTGCATTGATTTCTCCAAAGAAATCAGCAAGATAAGTAGGTTTCGACATAAACACGCTGTCCGTTATAATAACGTGTAACTCGTTTCCCTTACCCTTATGCATCTCTTTTCTTCGAAGAAAGATTGTAATTTCCTATCGAAGCTGAAGCACTCGGTGCAACACCCTGCCTTGTGACAACCAACACACTTCTGTGTGCAATAGTAGCACGTCGAATTTGCCTCCAAATTCATTGCACAACTCTTTGAAGATTCTTGTGTGGGTCGCACTACCGCGGATGACATTTACTATCTTTACTACTTTGGTTAACACATCAAGTAAAGCAGGTGGAAGAGTGCTCACTGCTAAATCATAACGATGTATGATGCAGTGACTAAAGGTAGCGTGCGGAGCAACATTTTTGACCAATGTTTGGAATCCGGAACGGACGCCCAACATGGCTGGTGCTCCGTCTGTACAGAAACCCACTAACTTCGACCACCGTAGCATGTTTTTCTCGAGGAACTGCTTTACTATTCGGAAGACATCTTCGCCACGCGTAGTCGTGCTCAAGAATTCTGAGAACAAGTACTCTTCTTTGAAGCTATCACTTTTTAGGTACCGAACATACACAAGTAGTTGGTAACAGGACGCTACGTCGGTCGACTCATCAAACTGGATTGCAAAGAAGGGACTTGATCTTATTTCGTTGAGCACCGTGTTCAAAATTTGTTTGCTCATGTCCTCGATACGACTTTTGATGGTGTTGTTCGAAAGTGATATCATATTAATCTTCTCCGCATGATGTTCTCCAAGAACGAGCTTAACCGCATCCATTATGCAAGGTTTGATGAGGTCCTATGGTATGCGGCTTCTTGTTTTTGGCGATTCGAAGCGCAATGCGATACGAAGCTTCAAGGCCAGCCTCATTTGCCTGAGAAAAGGAGCTCGATGTATCCAGGCGCGAAAGTTTTAGCGCAACTTCTTTCCTTCTAAAGAATGTAATATCTTTTCCTATCAAATGGGCATGGCTTCGTTCGAAGTGCTCTTTCAATTTACTAGGTTTCATACTCTCCGCCGTGAGCACTTTGCCGCACAAAACGCATTGCGGTTTCTCAACATTTTTATCAGCGAAGTTAGTGAAGCCCCACTGCAGAAATGCTTCTTTGTAGGACCGTTCTTTTCTGGAAGACGTTTTCCCTGCAAACAATTAAGTAGGTAGATGTTATAGATATATATCATTTACAGAAATTAATCTCGTTATTGCATGCAGGTGATATTATCGCAAACGTTCGCAGACAAATATATTTTTGTCGGCATCAAAGCCACTGAATGAAAATGCTCACCTGCCATGACTTCTCGTCAAAAACAACTGCTCATGAAAGTGATCAACATAACACCTAATGGTCACGGGCGTCCAATCTTCTGATTCTATGTTGGTTGTGACCCCAATTGTATCGTTTCTCTGCCCTTTCAAACGCCTACCGTTTTCCCGATTCAGGCCCTCTCTTGACCCCATCGTGTCTGATTCCTAATCAAACATGAACATGTGTTTCATTCCTCCGTTCCACGTTATTCCTCGACATTTTCCCGACACCATTCTGTATCCATACCTTGTGAATACTAATCACCCTTTCTCGCCGTTCCTACTGTCAAACATTCACCTGTGAACATAACTGGTACTTTGACCAGTGCTGAAACAATAGTTTGCTATCCACCCCGTTATTCGACCCGGTGAACGACTGGCTTATTCGAAAACACGGCAGCAGTTGTGGCAGTCGACAAAGGCGCCATGCCGTAGTAGCTGCATTGACTGATGGCTAACTAAAAATGCTGAGGTAGTTGCGATGTGTGGTTTCATTATTAAGCTTATTTCGCGACTGATTTGTGACCAAATCCAATTATCGGTATTGACCCCTCGGAAAATGCCATTTTACCCCCTTGGGGGTAATTACCCCCAGGTTGGGAAACCCTGGTCTGGATCCATGTCCAGTAGACTAGAACACCAGCCGATTTCCTTTCTGACTTTCATCATGCGGCTTCTGCTAATACGTGTAAACCGGATCTACAATCTGACGCTTATCAAAGTTATCACTGAATAAGCAGGCTTTGTATGTCTATCAACGGTAAATTATAGGCCGGTATACTCCAGTAACACTATTGAAAACCAGAAAATGCAAACTTCGGTTTGGTATCAGCGTGAAAATCGTCTTTTTAAATTCGTGTGTGAAGAAAGGTTCTCACAATTGGACTACTGCACCAGCTCACTCAATCACCGTACTCAGCAGATTTTGCAGGTGTGGATATTTTACATCATTAAAATCTGTTCGATGGCTTTAGATAGTTGATCCACACAATGAATCACCCCATCATTTCAGCAGTTTCGAGTAACTTCCCATTTCATCTGTTTTGTTTTCACCAAACCAGGTTCCAAGTGAAACCACAGTACATAACATCATATCCCAATGTGACTGGATCCCAGGCCAATCCCTACCCAAACCACCCCAATTTAAGCGCTAACAATATGTGTGTAGGTGGCTACAATCTGTCTGGAAGCCTTGCAGGTGCCTCACACATCGGTCCAACGGGTGCCCACACATCTTCGGACGTGTCCAGTGGTCATCAGCCAGTACACAACTGCCCGAAGCAGAACTTAATGCCCACTCAATTCGGGTGTCTGGAGCATTGTGTTCCAGGGCGATCTGTCTCACATTGTACTCATCCCTCTCCACCAATGACCCAACTGACCTGCTCGTGTAGAAGCAATGTTGATGGCGGACCATCAAATTTCTGGGGTTCCCCTCCCGGTTTCGTTGCTTCTTGCGTGGAAGACAGACAGTCCACTCCCGCCGGTAGTGAGAATGGAGGCGCGGGATCTTTCACCGGTGGTTCGGGTCAAATGGAAATTCTCGGCAGAAATTCCTCCAAAAGGATGTGTGATCCCCCGGGGTGCTTTGGCCACGGACCAGAAAAATCTGACGGTTATAGTAAGATAGAATTAATCATGCAGTACTTCGCAAAGTGTCCAGTAATTCTTCCTGTAGTTAAAAATCTTTTGCGTTTTTCTGTTTCCGGAACGTATGTGCTTGCACTATGGTTCTTATATACATAGTGATTAGGAATTTCATGTGCGCCTAAAAACACACGCTAACAATAAGTTTAATTATGCCATAAAGCAATGATCTGTGCAATTTGTTGTCCCCGTTTATTTGCTCGATTTGACTTACCATCTATAGCGTTTTCGGATCAATAATTAAACTCTTGTCTCCTAAGTTGAGCGACGAATGTACTTCTCGATTACTGTTGTATTACGTGGGTTGTACAGCGCTGGACACTGCCTAAGATGACCATTAAATGACCTCCTCGTGCGCGTACTTACCTTTGGACTATGTAATACATTATCCAATACGACGTTTGGCAACAGTTGACTCTATGCACGGCCACCGAAGCAACCTTACTAGATACACTGGTTGTATTGCATTAGCGTTTAATATTTACGGCGTCGCAAGTAATAGAAGTAGGATGTTTTGCCCAATCAACTTCGTAGATTTACTCACACATGACACCACACCTATCAACTGGTTGCACTATCTGGATGCTAAACCAGTGGCTGCTAGCCTGTAGACATGTGCGAAGGGCAATCCGGTTTGAGATCGGCTGTGCTAACAGTGATGTTGGATCCAATCATAGTTTGGTTGGTTTGGGCATGAGATAGTTTAGCAGGCAAAATATCGATCGAGCAGTAAAATGGTAGGAGTCAGTAGCAACTAACGGTTATAGTCATCAGGTCGTTTTCATAATGAATCACTCTTTCGAGGCAGTTCGTGCTCAGACACTACCTGAACTTATCAACTGTCAAATCTTGTTGGGTTCGTTGTTGGTCTAACGGGTGCTAGCAAAAGTTATAACTGTCTGAATAACCAAATCCATCTAAATTCTCATGAGTAGTGAAATTTGGATCTAGTTCATCGCAATCAAGTTTAAGTCAAACAGGCTTCCATACCAGACAGCCGTTCTGAACTTCTAGGTTCCGTCAGTATTTCGCGTTCCTCGGGCCCATTTCGACAAAAGACCGCATGACTTCTGGAGGTCAACAGCTTATCCCTATAGGGTATGGGTAACGGCCGCAGATCTGCGTGGCTGACAGTAAACAGCGATAAAGTGCAGTTCAGCCTGCAGTGTAATGCTAGTTGCCAACCGTGCAGAGGACAGTGTTGGCCCTATAGCGACTGTGTACGACAATGCTCTGAACAGATATACAGAAGAATTTGAATTACAAGTGAGTACTGGGGAGTTTAGGTGCAATCTGAGTTTCGTCCGTCGCAGTTCTTCTCAGCCGGCCTCGCAGGGAATGTGCTCAATCCCAAACACGGTAAGGGAATCACGATCTAGTCAATCCTGGTTGTCTGAGTGAAAAAATCTTATTTTGCACAATCTAAGTAAAATTTTGAAGTCAATAATTCGTCAGAAAACCGTTGAACCTGCAAGCCTGCTCTCTGATTGGTTTGGTTGTTGGGATAAATTCACCTTCCCCTGAAGTCAGATATCCAAATGACTGGACCACAGTTCCCATTCGTTAGAGTTCAAAACATGCACAAAATTCCTGTGCTTTGTTTCGTTTGGATACTGGCACGGTTAATAGTGTAAGCAAGAGACAGACGCGGCAGAGTACCCATCCAAAAAAGCAGCTAGACGGCCGCCAAGTAAATGAGTGGCACACCGCCGTATATTTAGACAAATGTCCTTGGTAGAGTAGACAAAAGCTCACTAGAAATAGTAACCTCATAACAGATTATGCATATTAGGTCAGGAATAGCTGGTGTTTGGGGTCTGTCCTCTGCAACTTACGCAAATTTCATGCAGTGGATGATGAGTCGCGCCGAGTCACATTTACCTACTAAATCGTGTTTCCCCTCGGCCTAGTGTCATAATTTACTGGCTAGTGACACAGGCTGCTAGTATCAAGATGGAATGGGTCCGGTTGCAGTTGCAACCGGGAATGCACAACATTGAGGAGTCCAGATAGAAATAAACAACCGTCTGGCGCTTCTCCATATGCTTTGTCCGTTATCTGAGTTAGAGATTACTACGATAAACTCTCAAAGAGATGGTTACACAGCACATTCGTTTTGTTGACCAATCAAAGCAGAGTTAAACGCTGATAGGGAAATCATGTGTGTTTTCCTCATTACGACAATTTTTCGTCATTATATGAGGGGTCGGTGCATTTAGCCAGTTACAGAAGTATTTTAAACAGCCTGAGCTCGGTCAGGTTGAAGTTGCTTTTGTCATTTTTCATTTGGGCACCTTGTTAACTTTGTTTTCTCATGCCATTATGTTGAACGTCCTGTAGAGAGCAGAAGTTCTAGCATGAGACCGACTAAGATCGTGAATACACCTATTACTCACATCACCATGTGTGACAGGTTTCGAAAATGTGATAAGTTCTTACTCATGTTTTTAAATAAATGACTGGAATACCCAGTACAATGACAGGTCAAGTCCGGCTAAAGGGATTTTGTAGCCATTGTGGAAGTAGTTGGCTTCGAATGCTTGAAGACAAAAGCGTAGCGGTTGAAGGTATATAATAAATAATAATGGTAATAATAATGATAATAACATTAGTGCTAATGCTAATGTTAATAATCTGGACGAGTTTTCTTCAGCAATGTGAGACTTGATACATAGAAGCTGTTCCAATCTTATGGATGATAAAGCATTTATACTGATACTATAACTAATATTTTAGAATACCAATGTAATTCTATATCCATTTACTTTTTTTTTAACAAACGACGCTTCGGACTAGGCTATAGGCAGAAACGATTGATATTCGCTCAGGTAGATTATTGCAGAACGGGTGATTAACTATGATTATGGCAGTTAAAAACACACAACACACAAAAGTGTGAGTTGAAGTTTATACTATTGGTATATTACGATAAAATTGAGAACAGAAAGAAAGCGAGGACAGAAATCAAGTTGGCATCTAAACGATAAACAAATAAATTTTACACTACCCTCGTTTTGACCGTTGTAATTTAGCTGTAACAAAAGATGCGCTTCGTACAGGTGGTGAGATGAGGTAGCAGAATGGAAATGAAAATATACACATCAGTTAGCTGGTTTGGTGAAGGGGCATCAAAGATCTACTATTTCACTATATCACTGTAGCGTTGGCATTTATGAATTTATCAGCTGGCCATGTGCGGGAGATTAGGTAATAGAAGAGGGTAACTTATAAGCTTCATTTCATATACCCATCGATGTGCGCATGTTTTTATAGGTCTGCAGGATAATTAAAATAGTCAAATAAGGAGCAGTGTCGAAGCAAAGATTCAAAGACAGTTCCTGTTTATCCAAACTATCGACGTGATCGTGTTTCCACAGGTCATCAGGGAGTACAGATGACTGCCGTGTATCAAATTACAACAGTGCCATTGACCTATAACTCAACTGCAAGTAAGCTATAGAACTAATTAAAGCCTGAACAAGTGCTTCAAATATTATGCGGAGTTGCGCGGACTTGCGGTTGTCTATTGCTTCCAACGAAATTTATTAAGAAGAAAATTAGGAATCCAATGTGGCTGGAAAATAAAGCTGATATCCATCTTTATTATAAGGTTGAGTAGCGGTGTTTGTAACATTTAAACGAAAGTACTCCACAGCGGTTTCTAATTCAGACAGACTATAAAATGTCAGGAACTGCACCAACCGGTATTGCACAGATATTAGCTCCAACAGGAGCTGAACGCATGGCAGCCCGATAACAACAGTCGCTACCCCTAAACAGAAGCTCATGACACTGACACAAGCGGGCTTTACCTGGGCTTCTGGTTGAACTAGAACTTTATTTTGGTGAACTGTGTTTATGGTAAGTTACCGTCTTATGAACATTATCTTGACGCCATGACCTTCTAAATGTTAGACTTTGCATCATATATCTCTTTGGTATTCAGGGGCACTCTGGATCTGAACAATCAGAAAAACTATTTCTCGAGCTTTGTCCCGAAAAATGTTAGAGAAATCCTTTCTTACTTTTAGCTAGTGGGTGTCGTTCGTAGACAACCTTATACAGCTAATTCCAAAAGCGATTCAATTCGGCTAATTTACTCGGCACTGACAGCAGCCACTTCATTTTCACTTGATGCTGGTGGCTTGGGCCTTGAATATTTTACCCTAGATTTTGTGAATGTGGAAGTGCAATGCTTCACTGAAGTCGCAACATTTAGAAATATAGGTTTGCTCACTAAAGACTAATCAAAGTCAACCATATTTTTCTAAGTGTGTCGGCCTTAGATAATCGTGTTGGGGCTGATTCCGATAATAGGTTGATCGCGTTTTGAGCGCCTAGTATCATTGTCTTACTTGGTTGCATATAGAGGAATCGTTCTAAGGACATAAGGCCGTGTCTGGAAGGAATTTTAAACATTCAGATTTTGGACCGTAATTGACCTAATTTACTTGCCTAATTTGCAAGAGTCATGTAGATTGCACGTCTGCGCACTGTACACTTTTGCTTTTATTAGCCTCATAAACGTTGTCTGATCGAATGAATTCCATTTATGGTCAACAGATCGCATCGCTAACTGGCTTGATAGAAGTAGTGAGCTTAATAAGCATGGTGCATGCATCCTTTTGTGGTAGCAACAAGACAGGTTGCTGCGTTTGTTTTCCTACGAGTCCATGCTTCCTTATTTATAGATACATTCTAGTTAGGTCACGCAACCACTTCGTTTTATCCTATGTCGTATTATATTTAATTCGGTGACAGAGGATTTGATCACAGATTCAATTGCCTCGGTGTGTTGGGAATTGGTTCCACGGTACGGAACAAATAACAGAAAGGTGTTGAGTAGTACTCAGCCTTCGAAATAAATGACGGAGGGAGGCAAAAATCTTTTACCAGGATAATGATGTCGCATTTTATTTGTGGATTATAAGCCATCGTAACAAGTAACTCCGGATTCGTGCGTTGCCTGATACAGTAGACACTGAGATTCTGAGTTGTAGCAATCCTGTACATTGCACCTCCACTGAAGGCTGAAAGTGACAGACAGTTTCGCTTGTGTTGTTTACTGAGCCCGGATTTGGCAGCTGTCGAAGTCAGAGCACTAGTCACGTGCTGCAACTCATCCGCGCTGTGAGAAAACAACGCACAGTCGTCAGGGAACAGCAACATACAGGTAGTTGTCACTCGGACTAGGGTTCTGGCACTGAAATGAAGGATCTTCAGCAACTCACCATCACGAACACCGTAAGCACAAGCGGCATCAAAAGCACAAAACATCATTGCATGAAGATAGATATTAAACAGGGCAGGAGCTGAGACACAGCCTTGCTTCACACCAGTGACAACTGCAAAGTCATCTGAGGTCTGTCCACTCAGCTGCACTCTCGCCCGCATACTACTGTGAAGACATTCAATTAAACTTACAAATTTACTCAGGCAACCAAACTTATCTAACACCAACCACAATGCCTCGCGGTTAACCGTATCAAATGCCTTGGTGAAATCAACAAACAGCCAGTACAACTGCTGGTGTAGTTCTCTATACTTCTCATGCAAGTGTCGAGCCGCAAACACCATATTCATAGTGCCGTAACCCGAACGGCAGTGGGGAGCAGATCCAGCTCGAGAACGTGATTACAAAAACAGAGCGGGATCTGCTTGATGTCCGTCACACGCAGCCTTTTCAGTTCTGGAATAATTAATTTGTGTTTTGTGAGATATATGTAGGACATATGTAAGATAAATGTAAGATACGCACTTGCGAAGACGGCCAGACGCAAGAGGGCTTTGGCGAGTTTGCACCAATTTGACCAGAGGCTACCTGACTTGAGGTGAGCAATAGCAAATATTTTAGCATTTGGAGGTGCCCTCCAACCGTCAGAGACAATGCGTAGCGCTCGTGCTCTATGCCAACCGGGTGGTGAGCTTATAACCTGTAGACCTGTTGTCTCCCATAGCTAGGTTTCATGGGAAGAGAGCCATCGACCACTGCCTAACCTATGAAGGGGATTGACTGGGATACTTGCAGGGCGCCCACACCTGACAGGAAAATGGCTCGGGTCTTTATCCAAGCCTTCGATGAAATGTACACCCGAAAGGCAGGGCGTCTAGCACATCGTCAGTTCACTTATTCCCTGCGCGTTGTTGTTCTGGATCTTAGCAGGAAGTGGGGGTAATCCAATTCCCACCCAGCGGTCGCCACAAGGAGGCGTCCAGGACATGAGCCCATAGCACAACAGTAGCAGCAGTGGGTAGAACATGTGTCAGGATCTAGCCAATACAAGCCTTAGCGCACCATAGGCTCACTCGCCGCTTACATTATGTTCGGTACTAATAATTTACACACAGTTAAATACAGTTGAGCAGATTTCAATTGTTCAAGGTCTCGGTGTATCACCGTCAACAACAATGCAAGTAAATGAGCGAGAAGAAAGAACGCTGTCAATTTCATAGCTCAAAGCAGACCTCCAGATGATGAGTAAAGTGATCGTATAGGAGCGCAATTTTACGCAAAGTCACTTACCAATCACAAAGCTAGCAAACGTCAGACACACAAATGAAAGACACATACAAGACACACACATACAAGACGTAGTAGATGGTCAACAAGTGGCCTGACAATCGATTAGCATACGTTCACATTAGTACAATGTTATGGACTCGCCGATATCAGATATAGTAACTGAAACAAAAATTACAGCGGAGAAAAGCAAATGAGGGAGTGGACGTGCAAACCACGGGACAACGGTTGGAACCCAGGGGGAACTGAGCAGTTACCTTAGCAATCACACTGTAGTGGGATAAGTGGTGGACCGCTGGACGAATGGGAGGTTATATGGAGCAAACAGGCAGAGTGTGGAGGTGACATCCAGTGAACATAAATCCAGGTTATGTGAGGGCATGGACCAGGATGTACGAGCAGCCATGGAAACACCGATGTGTGGTCATTTCAAGGAGCAAAATGTGCAAAACAAATACCGAACACTAACAAGTTTTAGAGGAATTTTTCAATCATTGCAAAACCCTTCCACCAGCCTGTGGCGGATAGGTCACAGTCTAGCTGCAATGCGGTTCGGACCCAAACATATTTCACAACCCAGTGCCTAGTAGCTAAAGATTAAAATGAGTTGAGATGTACGCATTTTGGTCAGGATTTTGAGACCGGAAGCTAATGGGGGGTTCATAGTTATTGATTAATTTAAACCATAAAGAGATAAACGATGACTTGTTTCGCGACAATGCCAAACACAGATTTGGACCGAGTACAGTGCAAAGATTTTATACGCCATAGTGGCTGCCGTTTGTTATTGATGGCGCAAACATTTCTCAAAGTCCAGCGATACCACGTTAAGCCATTTACGTCAGCAGACACAAATCGTAGCAACAAAATTCCGGGCCGACTCCTAATTGGTCAACAGATTAGAGTGGATGATTTAACATACTAGAGAAGAAAAGAGTAACTTTTGGGAATCATGAGCAGTGCGAATTCCATTTGACCTCTTGGAGCTAGAACCCCGCAACTAGACTATTATCTGTCCTTGGTTAAGGTTACAAAAATACGGCGAACGGATATGAACCACATGAGGGCGGCCTGACTCAGTACAGATGCGACGAATTTCTACTTTTACCAATCAAATACCCTACTGCTCTCTTGTAATCAGTGCGCAGACCAAACTGCTTAAATGCTATAAGAGAATTGAATGACGTTTAGCAAGTTTGATACTCAGCTAATGGACCATCTTGTACTCTGCACGGCAGAAGTATGCAAATAAGTAGATAAGGAGCACAATACAATTTAATGATTCAGACGAATTACGTTAGGGCCTTACGAGTAAAACTTGTTATGTGAACTTATTCGGGTCTTTTCCTTGGTCCGAATACCAGTTACTCGCATGTTTAACTGCAACTAAACAGTCCATTCCATCACGTTGTGAAAAGCAGCTTCGTACAGTAAAACTCTTGAGAAGCATCAGTGCAAAGTATCAGAAAATATCTTATGCAGAGTACACCGACTGGAATCTTAATTTGTTGGCAAGTACTGAGTCCTCTCAAAAACGTTTTTGGTTTATGCGAGGCCATTTCTATTCATGAATATTGAGCAGATTGAATTCAGCTGGACGGTTTCAAAATTTCTGAAAGGAAAGTATGACAGCGACTGGGCTGAGCGATTATGATATGTTGGATAGTATACCAATAATGCCATTCTGTTACAAAGTAAACAAACTAGACCAAAGTATGCAACAAGACCAAGTGTGTATGTTGCTGCTGTGTGACAAGTACGGTCAATGGTTAAATTTGACAACATTTCGAGTGAATATTCAAAAGAAGTGAATACTGCAAAAGTCGGCATCGAGTAATTTGAGTTCACAGCAGTATTAATCTTCAGATAATGTACCAAAGAACAGAACAGAGACCGAATGACAAGTAGATGAAATTAATGTAAGATAATTGGAAGTATTTCGGTATTGCTGCTCCCAAAATGTGATAAGTTACGACATCTTAGACAAGGCTGTGAACACGGTAGCTCTAGCTAAATTCATAATTGTGATTTGTGCTCATACAAATGTTGGGCACTCAGCGGTGAAGAACACACGCCAGGTTCATGAATAGCTAATAAAACGAAATATTACACAAGAACAATAAACGTAACTTTTTCATAAAATGATTAACAATTAATGTCCCGGAAGCAATTTCTTGATCTCCATCTGTTTGACTACATTTGAACCTGTAAAATTGTCATGAGGAAGGGAAAAGTAATATATAATAGTCCCGTTTGGACGCATGTATGGTTTGTTTGTCTGTCTAGTCTAGGAGTTTGATATATTGTAGGATAACGCTTAATAGTTAGCTAGGTTGATATCAGTATGTAATACTGACGAATGATTTTTTAACTACTATGTTGACTGGATAGAACGCACTTACCAACTTCTCGCTTTGGGATGTAATCACACCGAGTCAACTGTTTTAATGGGCTGGCATTAACTTAATTCACTGGTCAAGAGACCAGGTAAGACTACGACACATCGGTAGGTTTGATGTGAAAACACACGCAATGCTATACCGTCGAATGAAAAATACTCTGTCCATCGTCATATCCAGTGATCCAGCGGTATGTATCCCCCCAGTTATCTAGACGATGGTACTGATGGCATGTAAGATTGTCCTAACTAGTTTCCGTTGGTGGAGTCAGATGTTAAATCCTGCGGCGAACTTTCGATTGATGTTTATCATTAGACTACTTGGTACCTTAAAAGTAGCCAAGAAGTAGCCTAATAATTGTGTTCATTCCAGTGCACAGTCATGAGGTGTTACCTGAGAAACCGCAGATTGGAAAAAGGCCTTTTGCACAAGAGATTGCACGATTACTAAGGACGGAATTCGATATTACTGAAGAAGCGACATGATAACTGGCAAGCTGTATCGGAATTACATAAAATCCATGTTGACCCAACAGTTAGTAGCATTACAGCTCTCACGCATTACTCTGAAGTGCACAAGATATTACTAAGAGCAAGATGACTGCCGGTCAAGGTCGGTGCTTAGTTGAAATACCTCACACTGATCAGCGACACCCAGAGTAGCTAAAATTTACACTAATTTTTATGTACAAAAAAAGGGGAAAATTGCTGCAAAATCCTTGCATCACAGCTCTCTCTATTTATGTTTTTAGAATGTCCAAATTCCGTGAGTTGTTCCAACTGTGGTGACTGGAATCAAAGTGCCAACGAAAACTCTGCCCGGACTATGACAATGTCTTTTCTTGCAAACAGTCAACATCCAGTCAGCCGAGCCCATTCAGACCGCTGCGATGCAGGGCATTGCAAACCTAACTACTTCGTAACATCTCAAGCGAACCAATACCCGGTGGGAAATTATCCCGATGGGCACGGTGACTGCTCCCCAGACTGCGGTGCTATGCAGCGCCACCACAATTCAAACATGACTGGTGGATTCACAGGAAGTGGTAGTCTCATCGAGGATGAAGCAATCGCATCTTCACCCGCGAGTAGTTCAGCCGGTCCGTTCTACACATCCACTCCTCCGAATCAAGGAAATACACGCATAAAATGGGACAGTGTACTCCATCCTCACCAGATGAACCACTGTCACGCGGGGAAAGGAGATATCTCCCTGACGCCTTGTAACTTTGGCCAATCGAGAACACACATTCGGTTCTATGATGGTAGGTGCAAAAGTGATTCATTATATCGTGTGGTCAGGAAGTGCCTATTAATTGTCATGGATGCACCATAAATTGCTGCACATTGTGCGCCCTGAGAAAACCCTGAGGAATTCTAACGGCAGTCCAGAGATCCAAGCGGGCCTCACAAGTCGCACTACGCACAAAATTACAGCGGCTGCGTACCGCAACTTGCACAGCGCTTTACGCGATGAGGTGCAGACTAGGGATACTTGAACGATCGATACATCCTGGTCAGTGTCTGCAGAGAGGATGATCCGCGATAAACTGGCTGTCTGTGGGCTTTGTACTGACCCATGTTTAGCCATAGCACTGAAGTTACCGTTAAGTAAAGCGTCTACTGGGGTAAAAGAAAGGAAGAGCGCGTCGGCAGATGAACGTATACGCGGTACATAACTGCTGCTATTTCATCGCAACTACGTTCCCGTTAAAGTAGACAGACTGACGTACACGTGAGAAATAAGTTTTCGATTTGCCCGTATTTGCATCAAAGTTAATGTTAAAACACAGCTACGGTGAGCACGCCGGTAGACTGAGAACTAGCTTAAAAAGAAGCACTGTAGGAAAAAGCGCCACTTTCAACTAGACCTTTCACATTAGGAATAATAACGACTTGGTAATATTTTGCTTTCCTGTTAAGTGAGCCAAATTCTATCTAAAAATTCTCTTTCCTAAATAACCTACGATACTTAAAGAGTACCCGGTTGTTTCATTTCAGTTTAGTGCAGTTGATAAATCATGATCCGGGCACTAAAGTGCTATGGATACAGTTGCCACGAATCGTGTCGCCAGAGTGGCAAAATGAAGAATGATAAGTAAATGCGGTCAGACTTATGTATGGTATTAGAAGAATGGAAGCCAGAACGAGGAGCACGAAGTTAATTGCAATGAAGTCTGAAAACACCTACACGCAAGAGAACGAATCCCGTGGCAGCATTGACTCCGACAAAGCGCCACGTCCGATAGAATCTCTACTCTTTGGTTTGCACTAACACGGTCCAAGTCTCTAGGTCAATTTCAGATTGAAGCATGCGGAACTTGCCATAGTTTTATTAGGGTTTTATTATAATAAATGCTATTAACGGCACCAAGAATGTATTAATAGGGCAATGTAGTTAACCTCAATGTACCTGTTCTGTCGTAGTAGGCAGTCTGAAATTACGCAGTCAACCTCCCTTTATATCTAATTTTAAGGTTTCTACACAAGAAGATTTGACAGGTTACCGGGTTGCTCTTGTTTTTTCTATTAAAAAAGCAGACTGTCTTGTGTGGTGTGTGGACTACCCATGGTTGCGACGGTGGTCACAACGGTTAACCCGTTCGCAGCTGGGATCCGAGTATGAATTCTCAACCCCACTCACCAAGCAATTAGTGCAGAATGTTGTCAATTGCGTGAAACATATTTTCTAATTTTGTGGGTGAGCGGCATACCGCCCAGAGACTCTCATGATCTCACCGAAAAGTTCAACTCCCGAGAACGATTGTTATCGGTTTGAGGTGCCTTGGCTCAAACACGTACCTGCTTCCCAGCAAGGTACGCATTCACCCAACAGTAAGGTGTTGTAGCTTGTCCTAACAATGAGACTTAAAGATGCACGGTGGAACATGCAGAATTTATGCAGCATAAATGAATATACCCAGATAAAAGACCGGAGCTCAACATACTGGGACCATTAGGTACACAATTCAACTTCACTGGTTTACCTTTCATTGGAAGAACGCAATCTTCGTCGGGTTCGTAGACTCAAGGTTCAGGTATTGGATCCAAACGATCCGGCTAAACGGAATACATTTTGCCGTTGGAATTTGGATCACATGGAGCAACGATGTTGTAGTTTTCCGGATAGCACACCAATGCATCGGCTACGATTGACTACATGACTTTGGACAGTAAAGGATGAAATGACACCGCGGAAAGAACTGGTCCAACGGTTCTGCCAGTTGTCGTGAAGCTGTTCCCACTGCTTCTGGGAGAGTAATGTCGACACTATGGGAGCTGTGGTTGATCACAGACATAAGCTTTTGCAGTACAGCTTCTGCGGTAAACTTGATGTTGTGGAGTTCCTGCGTTGGAGTAACAAAAGATGGAAGATCACCTAATGGCAAAGCTTTCACAAATGTAGATTCATATTGTATTCCTGTTTCGGTGTGTGACAAACATATACTTCTGGGAACAACTGCGTTAAGGCCGGTGCTACTGTATGCATCTTAGACTTGACCAATTCTTACGGAAGACATCAAAAGGTTGGCTGTCTTTGATCACCGGGTCTCGCAGTATTGTATGCATCTGGTTTGAACACAGCGTGAGCAATGTTAAGGCCCGTCAGTTGTTTTTATTGCAATAAACTCCCCGTTGCCTCACTTTGGTGTCTGTTGCAGTTGAATTGCTAACTTAAGTTAGGTTATATACTCCGCACACCAGATAACCGCCTTCCTCAGCGAGCAAAATGTTGGGCGAAACCATGTGGTATTTAATACATGACATGGCATAGGGATATGAAGAAATGACCGCGATACTAGGTCAAGCAGGGGGCCTTGTGCTATTTCGAACCAACGGTTAGAGATTCTATCGGACGTGGCGCTTTGTCGGAGTCAATGCTGCCACGGGATTCGTTCTCTTGCGTGTAGGTGTTTTCAGACTTCATTGCAATTAACTTCGTGCTCCTCGTTCTGGCTTCCATTCTTCTAATACCATACATAAGTCTGACCGCATTTACTTATCATTCTTCATTTTGCCACTCTGGCGACACGATTCGCGGCAACTGTATCCATAGCACTTTAGTGCCCGGATCATGATTTATCAACTGCACTAAACTGAACTGAAACAACCGGGTACACTTTAAGTATCGTAGGTTATTTAGGAAAGAGAATTTTTAGATATAACTTGGCTCACTTAACAGGAAAGCAAAATATTACCAAGTCAATATTATTCCTAGTGTGAAACATCGGCCAGTACAGAGCCCACAGGCAGCCAGTTTATCGCGAAACATTCTGTCCTCAGACACTGACCAGAATGTATCGATCGTTCAAGTATTCCTAGTCTGCACCTCATCGCGTAAAGTGCTGTGCAAGTTGTGGTGTGCAGACGCCGCAATTTTGTGTGTAGTGCATCGTGTGAAATCCGCTTGGATTTTTGGACTGCCGTTATTATTCCTCAGGGTTTTCTCAGGGCATGTAATGTGCAGCAATCGGTAGGCACATCCCGGCCACGCGATATCATGCGGAGAATTAGTAGGGCTTCTAGAAGCTTGGTCGATTGATACTATCGCTTTACTTGCACATAAATTTTGTTTTCATTTGTCTACTATTTTTGTTCAAGTAGCCACTTTTCCCTGCCAATTTCTCTACTGGCGCATATCGAAATCATGCACAACCTACGCATAGGCTGATGAGTGACAGCGATCATACTTCGGTTGATTATTTGTATGTGCTTTCCTCTGGGTTAGTGAAATAACCGCTGTGGATTGACGCGATTCACTGTACCTTCCGGTCATTGTATTGATGATTGCCGCCTTCTCGTAGGTTAATTATCTTCTGGCCAGGAAGTTAAGTATTAGATTGAGTGGCGGATTTTGAGTGTACCTTTTCCATTCTGTATTACCTAGTGAAATAGAAAAGACAAATATAAAAAGTTTACATTTTGTTAGTTACTCGGCTCGATGATACTTGAATATTCTGACGGCTTGTGTATATCAATGGATAGAGCACTTCCTTCCGCCATTTTCGCCCCAATGAACCTGATCTTCCAACTTTGAGTTCATATTCTGTCATTCTTCTCACTCGCTGCTGTTAATCTTTATTTAAATGTCTTTCTTTTCTGTTGCTCTTTCATTTTATTTCTACGCCTGCCTTACTTTACGTGACCTACACAGCGGGGTCTGCTAGTGTATGGAACGTAGACAGTAATTGCTTGACCAGTGTGTGGTTCAGGTGTTTCGCTTTCTATCCATCAGCTCCTCGTAGCACTTTATCCTTTCCTTTCTCAACGATCCGCTCAAAGAAGAAAACTGAAGGGGCTTTCCAATCTTTTCACTTCCATCTGTATCTAACCTATTCCGAGGCTGAAAGCCTAGGTAAAGTAAAGACAAAAATTTTCAAATGTAAATTTTGAGGGGTTAAGTGTTCTTGTCTTTAATTATGCCATTGTTTTTCCCCAGCAAATAGAATAACGTTAACATCTGTGTCTATTGCTGATTGAAAAACGCTTATTATGTAAGCAAAATATTTGAGCAAACTGAATTCTCTTTCATAGCAAACCTATGTGTAATTTCGAGAACCGATGATGACTATAAGGAAACATGAATTGGACTGCATCGACAATTCAGTTGATTTCATCCTTTTCTCACCTAAATCGGAATTCGGAGCCCACAAGAAGGAGAAAATTCAGAGACCATAAATGTTTAGCTGATGCATATCTGGCGAACTCATGGTGTACTATATTAGAAAAATAGCACATCATCATCCTTAACCAGTCAAAATACGGTCAATGGTTTGCGGTAAACACAAGAGTCTATCCCCTTGTTCTTGCCATTGTGTGTGCGCTTTCTACGGAAAAGTGGAGTTACGTTAATTGCGTAAAGAATACTAGGATATCTAAAAGGAGTTGGCGGTCAGATGTCAGATTTGCTTTTGCTTTCAGCCATTGTGTTGATGATCCAAGTTATTACAACTTCCTTTGCACACGTAGCCATCACAAGGAGCACCTTTAGCTGTTCTAGTGCGTAATTTTTAGCGTATAAAAGATTCTGTAAGCTAATTGCTCTGATGCCTAGAACGTCAACTTAATTAACAAATTGATTTCCTTCTCTATGCATATCAGCTACTGTTGCATGTGTGTCGTAAATGAGAGTTTTAAGCCAAGTAGCTAACTTGTTCATCCGTTGCCATGGACAACGTGGCACACCTCATCTCTATCAATGTATTTTAAAAGTGGGAGATGGATAAATATAAATGCTAAAGTTGCACTGAGATAATGCTGATGATTCATAGGAAGGCTCTAATGAGCTGTATCCAGCAAGCGTTTTCTATTCAGCTGAAAATCCAAACAGGCAAACGGCTAGAAATTCATGGGGGCTTAAATAGTGGAGTTGAAAAGAAAGGGGTATCCCAAAATTTCAAATCCTTTTAGTGCGAGCAATTAGATTCTGTCTTGCTGTCAGTAAGAAATCTACTGGGTTCGGGACTAATTATAGAGGAAATAAAGCTATCCTATACCAACATCATACAAAAGGATCCCACTATGGAGTGCATCCCATGTCGAATAAATTTGACATCACCCGCATTTGTATCCGTGTGTGAGAGTTACAGCAAATGAATGGTAAACTCAATGACCTTCAATTCACTTTGAAGGCCCGAACAAAGCAGCGCTAGAATCTAATTCGTCAACTTGAAGTAACCCAAAATAGTAACAAATAGAGTTAGCTTTTAATGATGCCTACATCCATTGCAAACATTACTTTGATAATAAATACCCAAATTATTTTTAGGTCAAAGAGATCGCAAAGTGTCATCCACCCGGTGTCACACAGACCGTGGACCATTTGGCATGGCAACTCAAGAGGGTAACAATGTACTGAGCTCCGATTACGCTTCCCAACAGAGCAGCCTAAGTAAGACTGTCTCCTTTTCAAGGAATTGTTCGATTCATGCTACCGTAGAGCCTGCTTTTAGTATGTGTAACAATACCATAATTTCTTGACTTTTTTCGCTTTTATAAACTAGAGAATTCTTCAGAACCTTTCCATTCACTCGCTATCTGATTGGACAGCATGATATGTTTGTCACAGTTACCTGCCGTTAGTTCGGCAGATATATACATTCATGTGTTTGTGCGCGAGCGGTTTTAATCCACCAAAGAAGCAGCTTATGCTTTGCACAACGAAACTGTGCCCTAGAGCACATCCTTCGAATCGCGGGATAATATCGTAGAAACTTGCAATGAGGAGGGAAGTTACTAAGGGTATTAACGAGATGTATGCAACTACTCCAATAGAATGTAATTTAATTAGGGAAAAAATCAATGTTCCTGAGTATTTCTGCATTCAGCCACATAAGGAGAAAATCTTGTGAGGGTCGAACAAATAAATGCTGCAAGTAGTAAAAAGCGATTGGTAATTAACTGCAAGTTATCAGGAAGAACTGCAAGCTCCGAGAGTAATAGAAAATCTAGTTAAGCATCATGTAATTTATGATGGTTCTGAGTAAAGCAGGAAGACTAAAGTCTCAGTTGGCCGTCAAAAATCGTATCATTTGCACGAAAAATCTGCTTGACTACTAGAGCCTCCATCAGTACACATATATGCAAATATAAATAAAGTATACATATATATGTATAATTCTATGGATTACCCACAATTCGTAACGTTATCTATCCTCAAGAATCTTGTCCACCTTTTGGTAGCTTTTCACTATATATATATTTCAAGTTTACTTTCTGCATAAAGGATTATTCGTAGGCATAGCTAGCACAAAAGAAAAATAAAAATGTTACCAAAGTTCCATGGTCCTTTGGTTTACATTCCTCGTTGTCACAGTAGGATTTACGCATACAACTTGATTATTGTTAATCTAAAATATCCTATATGTTTTCACAGACTACCGTTATCACTGTTGTAGCAAACTAAACTGCAAAGCAACGACGCCAAACCGAGCAATGTGCCCGACTAAGGTTTTGTGATCTTTTCACAAATCGCGCATCATCCGACATCGGTACAGTAATACGCAATAGGGAGCATGACGATTCTCAAAAATTCCTTACTGGGGTGCCGTTACTATTATTCCTAGCCGCCATTAATCCAGTGTAAATCTTACAGGTAGCGGTAATTAGCAAACTGAATGATTGGGGCTTAAATTTTAGCATCTGGCTACCTTGATAGTGAGTGTTTCAACTGGATAGATACTACCGAGCTGTTGATTTAACTGGTTCATATATTGGCGTTTTCTATTTTTTTTATCTGTAAGCTTCACTACAACAGTGAGTAAATTGGTATGACCATACGCCCATAGGAGAAGAAGCATTATTGCATTACACGTCGGTAACACCCGGTCATAAATCGGTTGTGCGCTTCCACTACGCGGTTGTGACCAATCGGATTCGTTGGAAAGCAAGAAAGTTAGTGTCATGCAGATTCAACTGACGAAATCTATCTGCAGTCCTTCCTTTTTGATTTAGTTGGCCACATTTTATCACACAAAAGTAAGTTACACGTACTCATAATAAACCGTCGCAACACACCGCGTAAATCATTCTCTTTTGAAGATTATCCGTTCATCGTGATTTTAACGAAAAAGAATATTTCGGAATGCGATTAAATAATACCTACGAACCCAGCCTTGCTCCTTTCTGACCGCCGTATTCATTTTTACACTCTTCGGATAAAGCTTTTTAACGACATTCAATCAAGACATTATTCTTTCTGACTCAACAATGTGTGGAACCCCTACGGTACAGTTTAGGTTCTCGCATGAACAGTGTATTTTTAATCATCGTTAAACAGAACTGGGGCAGGTCAACAGACTCAGTCAACCACGCTTAAGGTCCATCCTGTAATCTTTTGCGCGACTGTGACAGTGCATCCCACGGTGCATCCAATCAACATTCACGGTTTCCTCTGTAACTCTGATCTCATGGTAGACTGATCGATACCGACGATCGGACCGACATCCGCTAACACGGCAAAAGGATCCACGGTGGTTCATCAAAAATGACGCAAGCAAATAAAATTAAGTCAAATGACGTTTGTTGCCTTAAATTTTGTGGTTGATCCGTCAAGTTAGGGCTTTAAACTCCTTATATTCTCAACACTTTCCACCTGAACTGTGCCATGCTAACAACAGTTGATGTATAGCGGTTAAACCGCTTACCAGTCTCCCTATCTTTCTGTATCGCGTGCATGAATGTTCAATTCATATAGTTTGTCACAAGGCTACCGCAAAAGTACAATGGCTTAGTGCCTGTAACTAAATTTTAAGCGAACACAAAATTGCTTCATTGGAGGTAAGAAGAGCAATGTAGTATCACATGGTTGGCGGCATCCGGTTTCGGATTTGCCTGTCACTGTGGCAAGCCACAGGACGCCTGCGCCTACAGAGGGACCATGGATGGCTTGCGCTGCACCACCCACAGCTCCAACCACATACCCCATATCCAGTGTAAACCCGAAGGAATAAGACCGGGAGGCATGCGGATGGGAACCACGTTTCATCAACGGAGCCGGCCCACACTCCTTCACAGGCAAACACAAGCACGCTCTATTTGGGGAATCAACCGCACACAAGGCGGTGGCTGGACCGTAGTCCGCTCCACACTGAGTGCATGGAACCGCTCTTTGAGCCTAGCACGGCCACAAGAACCGTGCACCCCGTCCCCTCCAGCAACGACCAACTGTCTCCTGGAGCCAGTATGAACGATGTAGTGGGTAATAGACAGGTAGGCACCTTGTCAACATACACATCAAGCGCAACCATACCAGGGATATCAAACAACAGCCATTCACTTTAAACGACAAGCTGAAATTAAATAAATCCAATAATGCATAGAGATACGGTGGCATAACTCTTCGCTAAATTACCATATGGAGTAAGTTGGTTAGCAACAAATCCGTGATAAGTAAGAAATGTCCACAAGTTACTTAAAATGCTACAAACGCAACAAAATTGCCGAAAATAAGCGCAATTAGTGTAAGCAACGTGGCCAGTTAATAGAACATTATTCAGGGAGGCAGAACAAACCAAATAAAGCGGAATGAAATTTAGCCAGCTTAAAAAGACCTAGTTTAAGTGTAAGTTGGTTTAGCCCAACTGCGGTGAAGAAGCATCAAGAATGCAACATCAGCCTCAGCATGGGGCACACATACATACATGGTTGGCGGCATCCGGTTTCGGATTTGCCTGTCACTGTGGCAAGCCACAGGACGCCTGCGCCTACAGAGGGACCATGGATGGCTTGCGCTGCACCACCCACAGCTCCAACCACATACCCCATATCCAGTGTAAACCCGAAGGAATAAGACCGGGAGGCATGTGGATGGGAGCCACGTTTCATCAACGGAGCCGGCCCACACTCCTTCACAGGCAAACACAAGCACGCTGTATTTGGGGAATTAACCGCACACAAGGCGGTGGCTGGACCGTAGTCCGCTCCACACTGAGTGCATGGAACCGCTCTTTGAGCCTAGCACGGACACAAGAACCGTGCACCCCGTCCCCTCCAGCAACGACCAACTGTCTCCTGGAGCCAGTATGAACGATGTAGTGGGTAATAGACAGGTAGGCACCTTGTCAACATACACATCAAGCGCAACCATACCAGGGATATCAAACAACAGCCATTCACTTTAAACGACAAGCTGGAATTAAATAAATCCAATAATGCATAGAGATACGGTGGCATAACTCTTCGCTAAATTACCATATGGAGTAAGTTGGTTAGCAACAAATCCGTGATAAGTAAGAAATGTCCACAAGTTACTTAAAATGCTACAAACGCAACAAAATTACCGAAGATAAGCGCAATTAGTGTAAGCAACGTGGCCAGTTAATAGAACATTATTCAGGGAGGCAGAACAAACCAAATAAAGCGGAATGAAATTTAGCCAGCTTAAAAAGACCTAGTTTAAGTGTAAGTTGGTTTAGCCCAACTGCGGTGAAGAAGCATCAAGAATGCAACATCAGCCTCAGCATGGGGCACACCATACATACATACATACATACATGGTTGGCGGCATCCGGTTTCGGATTTGCCTGTCACTGTGGCAAGCCACAGGACGCCTGCGCCTACAGAGGGACCATGGATGGCTTGCGCTGCACCACCCACAGCTCCAACCACATACCCCATATCCAGTGTAAACCCGAAGGAATAAGACCGGGAGGCATGTGGATGGGAACCACGTTTCATCAACGGAGCCGGCCCACACTCCTTCACAGGCAAACACAAGCACACTGTATTTGGGGAATCAACCGCACACAAGGCGGTGGCTGGACCGTAGTCCGCTCCATAATGAGTGCATGGAACCACTCTTCGAGCCTAGCACGGCCACAAGAACCGTGCACCCCGTCCCCTCCAGCAACGACCAACTGTCTCCTGGAGCCAGTATGAACGATGTAGTGGGTAATAGACAGGTAGGCACCTTGTCAACATGCACATCAAGCGCAGCCACACCAAGGATATCAAACAACAGCCAATCACTTGAGAGAGAGAGAAAGAAAAAGAGAAAAACTGGATTAATACATAAGGAAACGGTGACATAAACCTTAATTAAATAGCATACGTAATAAGTTGTTCACAAACACATCCCAGCTAAGTGCACGAAGTCAGGAAGTATAGTTCACGGTATGCCACGAACACAAAAATCTTATGGAAATCGAATACAACTGGCTAAAGCGATATGTGCAAGTTAATGGAATAGAGTACATGGAGATATTTATATAAGAAAGAAAAGCATTAAGGTAAAAACTGTAAACCCACCACCTGAAATAAAGAGACTTAGCATGCAAGCACGCGGTTAGTAAATCGAAATCAGCGTGCCTACAAACGCTGCGCCGGCTCGTCGTAATTCTCTGCAGGACCCATCGTCGCTTCTGTAGTGGCCCCAAAGGACCTAGCTCATGG